AGGACTCGGATCTGAAAAAGTCGAGGTCCACCTGATTAAACTGATTTTTAATTTAAATGGTTTACACCCTATCAGCTACTAATTCATACTCTGGAGAACCTGGAACCACTCAGCAAGCTTTGCACCCTCAATGTCTCAAACAATTATATCAAGGTCATTAAGAACATATGTGAGTATTTGCACACACAAGTGAAAATGGCACCACACAATGTATTGTTAACACTTTGTTCCCTGTTCTGCAATATACCATAAAGTAATTTATCTTTTGTTTTTCAGCCTGCTTAAGTGAGCTGCAAATATCCCATAACTCACTGGAGAATGTGTGTGACATGGAGTAGCTGTCACACTGTCCATCCATCAGTGTTCTTGATCAGTCTCACAACTGCATCAGAGATCCAGCCCTCATCAGTGTTCTAGAGAGAATGCCTGACTTGGTAAAAACAGTGTATCTGTTTCCTCATATATATGATCAGTAATGCTTGCTTCTAGATGTGGACTGAATTGCTAGAAGTTAATTCATGCTTCTTTGAATTTTCCAGTGGGTGTTAAATCTAATGGGTAATGACGAGGTCATCAAAAAACATCCCAAACTACAGGAAAATTATGATTGTACGTCTAAAGCAGCTGACCTATCTAGATGACCGGCCTGTGTTTCCAAAAGACAGGTTAGCAGCATAGTTGCAATAACATTAATTGCCTGACAACCGCCATGGTCAGTTTGAAGACCAATAGTCCATACAAAGCTAGTCTTTGCTACTAGTTCATCTAGAGGCTGTTGTTGAGTCTTTTACAGACGTTTGCACTGATTCACAGAGCATGTGCAGAGGCATGGGCAGCTGGTGGTTTGGAAGGTGAGCGAAAAAAAGGGAAATGTAGGAAACAAGAGAGAGAAGGAAGATCCAGGAGAGTTTGGATGCAATGACCACTATTAAAGAGAATGCACTGACGATGACAGGCTCGAGAACTTTTGGAGAAAGGCAAACACACATTCTGTTCACTTACTGTATACACTACCGTTCAAAAGTTTGGGGTCATTAAGATTTTTTACAATTAATTAAAAGTTTTATTCAGCAAGGATGCATTAAATTGACAGTAAAGACTTCTACATTGTTACAAAATAGTATTACTATTTCAAATAAATGCTGTCCTTTTGAACTTTCTATTCAACAAAAAATTCTGGAAAAAATGTATCGTAGTTTCCACAAAAACATTACAGACCACAACTGTTCTCAACATTGATAAGAAATTATTCTTGAGCACCAAATCAACATATTATAAATGATTTCTGAAGGATCATGTGACACTGAGACTAGAGTAATGGCTGCTGAAAATTTAGCTTTGCCATCACAGTGTAATGAAATTAACTCATTTGTAATTGTAGGGAATTAATTATTATTAATTCATTCAGGTTTTGAAAGGACTCGGATCTGAAAAAGTCGAGGTCCACCTGATTAAACTGATTTTTAATTTAAATGGTTTACACCCTATCAGCTACTCGGCCAGCGAGAAGTTAATGTCAGTGTATATTACCAACTGAATATGTATTTTCCTGGCCACGGTCAATACAATTATTATAAGTAAGCTATTATAGTAATTATTATAAGTAAGCTACGAGCTATCTTTTTGGCAAAAGGGTTTAACCTTGAAATTATATGACACCAAAAAATGATTTTCTATAAATGAAACATGAATTAAATTAGCTCGTTCACCAGTTCAGCAGAGATAAGATTTTGTTCGTTTACTTGCGTTCTGCTTGGTTGACAGTTGAAAGCTGAGTCGTTTCTCGTGGCTATTGGATGGCTGCTGGAGGGAAAGTCCTTCGCTGATTGGCGGTTGCGGTGACGTCGGAATGACGTTTGAAGGACGTTCTTTTGGGAAAGCCCTCGTTGGGTTGGTTGGTTGGTTGCCGGGTTACGGAAGAGGCTTCAGCAGTCCTGCTAAAAGCCTAAGTTTGCAAGACTTTGCGTTCTGCAGAGTTACGAAGCTTCAACTGAAGTGTTTGAGTTCTTAGATGGTCTCGCTTGTGCGATGTTACGGCGTGGGGGCGCTTTGTCGCGCTCACCAAGGTGAAAGCCAAAGTTCTTTTGAGTGAGAGAGCGAGCCAGCAAGCTTGAGAGCCTGGTGTCCATTTTAAGCAGGCTGACCTTTGGTCCGCCCCACGACGCGATCTTCCAATCGGATGCTGTTGCAGGGCGGAGCGTGCATACATTAACAAAGTGGCTTCAATTCATCACATGAGAAAAATCTTTGCGCAGACTTGGTTGATACTTTTATAAAGTTTCCTAATGCGAGTCTTGTACCCACTATTAAATTTTACTTCATTTCAACATTCGGCTTTTGTCGTGCCCATCCGTTCAAGATTAAACTTCACATATTACCACATTTTAATAACCTTATTTCCTAAAAAGAAGGTAATAAAACACTGATTAAAGTTGCACTGATTACATGAAACACCTCAAGCATATATATATATATACGGCATAACACATGTAGTGGATACATTTTCACTACTTTTTAAATTATTTGTCTTTTAAAATCGTCATGCAAGGTTCTGTTTCTTTGTCTGTGACACAAGAAACGTAAGGGTTTCAGTCATGCAGGAAGCAGGTGGTCAAAAGTCATGTGTCGTCACGCTGTATATCCCGTGTTTTTGCGGGCCTGAGGGCATCAGTTAATTTACTCATCCTTTTCCTGTTTGGGATATAATGGTTCCATCCATTGGTGGTCACAAGACATTGTGGTTTCTATGTTGTGAACGAACCTTTTCAGTACTTTATTCAAAGAATCTCTGTGTTATCTCCTGAATGGATTAGTTCGTCATCACTCCTCTGAGTAGATGAGACAAGGCTGACAGGAAATCGACCCAGAATACTGGACTCATGTGCTGGGTGATTAGCAAACCTCGTGATGGATGATATCAGTGTCCGTTCATATTTAGAAATCCCTACAACAGGAATAAATTACATTTTAGAATGAATTAAAATAGAAAACAGGTTGCAATAATATTTCACAATAATGCTGTTTTTACTGCATAAGAGATGTCTCTCAAAAAAGAAATTAAAAAAAATGACCAACCCCAAACATTTGAACAGTAGTGTATACACACACCCATATTCTGTCACCTCCTTCTGACATACAGCATCATTAACAGCTTTCGGTTTACCCTCAGGAATTATAGAGCCTCCAAGTCCTGTTACTGAGGATCAGATCCCTCAAGACGAAACATGACTCCTCAAAAACAGAGCAAGAACAAACTGATCCATTAGCATCAGAGATGGACTACATTTTCAAATCTGCATCTGACGAGGAACAGATTATACAAACAACACTTGATCAAAATCATTCCGACCAGTCAAAACCAGAGAGACAGCAGACAGGTTCAGAACAGATTCTCCATCCTTTATTTGACCAGGAACAGACTGGCAAATCAGAAACCCGGGGATTGAAGACTAAAGAGGAGGAGTACCAGAAAATCAGTGTTCACACAAAACCGTTGTCATATCAAAAAGTCATATCAGAGCGTTTTAGTCTCAGTTCCTGGTGCTCTTGTCACTGAACTGATCTCTGAGGATGAAATCGAGTCTATCACCCTGTCAGATGGACCAGCATTACCAATTGATGTGAGTACTTACACCATTGCTCACATCAATATAACTTCCATTTGTTTTTACAATGAATAGAATTTCCCTGCACTGTATATTTGATTTAAACAGAAACTTTGTATAAAATTTTACTGCAAACCGTTTTGATGCTCCTGATTTCTAGGGATCTTCCAGACCTTGAAGATGAAGAAAATAACCTGATATTTCCAACAACATCACAGGTAAAAGCAGGGTTATTACAATTACCTAAAACTAAAATCATAAAAAATGTTCCTTGAAATAAATACAAATTGTAAATATTAATAAATACTATAACAATATCTCAATGATACTTAAATAATACTTGGTGAAAAAGCATTGTTAAGTATATAATTAAATGATAACATTTCCTAAATTGTGATGAAACATTGTGATTAAATTTTATGGCAAAGTTGTGGAGATTTACGTGTTACATTTTTCAGAGTGTGATCCGTCCAAAGATTCAGGTCATCTCTGGTGATGACACAGAATCAGAAGCTGTTACAAGTTTGTATCACTGGCCTCAGTCAGATGCTGTAGCCACTGATCAATCTCAGCTGCTTATTAATGTCTCCACTAAGAGAACCTCAGTCAGAGGCAGGAGAGGATTTCCCAAAGCCAGCGGAAAACAGAAAGACTTTTCTGATTGAGGAACTGGACTGAGTTTTTATGGTTGAACTAATGAATGAAACTATATTGTAGTGTTTCCCAACCCTGGGGGCCCTCCAGCACAAACCTTGGATGTGTATTTAAATTTGATGTCTATCTGATTTATAAATTGTGTTGAACTTTAAATCACCTAATCATATTAATCATTTAAATAAAATAATACAAATAAAATCAATAAAAAATCATTTTGCTTTGAATTTTATTGCATATATTTTAAATGTATTTTGCAAATACTTCAAGACACTTTTATATATATATATATATATATAGAGAGAGAGATTCTGATTGAGGAACTGGACTGAGTTTTTATGGTTGAACTAATGAATGAAACTATATTGTAGTGTTTCCCAACCCTGGGGGCCCTCCAGCACAAACCTTGGATGTGTATTTAAATTTGATGTCTATCTGATTTATAAATTGTGTTTAACTTTAAATCACCTAATCATATTAATCATTTAAATAAAATAATACAAATAAAATCAATAAAAAATAATTTTGCTTTGAATTTTATTGCATATATTTTAAATGTATTTTGCAAATACTTCAAGACACTTTTATATATATATATATAGAGAGAGAGAGAGAGAGAGAGAATTATATAATATAATAATATATAATTTATTAATATAATTATATATAATATTATATCATTATGGTCATTTGACACAAGCTACAGATACTAAATCCTGTACCAAACCATTAGATTTGAGTACAGAACATCACTGAGTTTTATAGAAAACATTTTGTCATAATTTTTAAACAAATGCATATATGCCTTGAGTATCTTACCAAAGAGCTTACACATTAAATTACACATAAAATTAAAATTTACCAAGATAAAGAGTGTATGCAGATATGTCCTGTAGCAGTGTCACTGGCATCAGTCCAGCTATGTTAAACGGATAGGTTACATCCAAAGCAGCAGGAGAAGAGAGAAGCATATCAGGAGCAGCTCTTTACTGACTGAGTGGCTGGCAGAATGAGCAAGTCCTTTGAGTGTTTCCTGGTTGGTTTGGCCAGTGTTGGGAACCAGAGGTGTGGTTGCAGTTGCAGCTTCAGTACGACTGGCACACATGTCGTAGAGGTTACCAGCAAACGCTGTTTTCCGGGACTCCGCTCTCAAAGATTCCCAAATTTCTGCTGCATCACCTCGGCAGCCCAACAAGACACCACTCACACACACCTGGAAAGCATCCCATGACCTGCAGATGTGAAAAGTGCAATGTATTGAGATAAAAAGTTGTATTCGGTGGGGGGTGTATTTGTGTGTGAACGTGGCTCACTTGCAAATGGAGTTGATGTCCTGTGGGTTATCAGTCTTGGAGCTCACACTGTCACCCAAAATGACCAGACACTCAGCAAAACCTCTGTATACAGAACTACATGGATGTGATACTGCTGCACTCAGCACAGAAGAACAGAGACCTGAGAGGGGAAAAAATTAAAGCAGTTCAGAATCAAAAAGACCTTTATTGCCTGATATGTTTACACACACAAGGAATTTGCCTTGGTGACAGGAGCTTCCATTGCAGAAGAAAGTACAGTCATAGTACAGACACACAGAAATTAGGAAATAACACAATTTCATTTAAAAAGACAAACATTTAAATATGCAATACAGTAATACAAATATTACAAAAATGTATAATACATTTCAGAATGTACAAAAATTTTATTTACAGGTGTAGGGTTTATGAACTTACAAATGTACAATTTTGGATTATGTTATGTACAAATGTTCAGATATTAAAGTTTTAATTGTTCAGATTTAATATAGCCTATGGTTCTAATGATACAGAATACAACCTAGGCAGTGAAAAATAATACGCCTCGGGGCTGCAATGCTGAGACCTGCAAATGCACTTCAATTTCTAGAATTATTAGATTGGCATATGGCATAAACTGACAGAAATGTCAGCTGACAACTCTGCTGCAACTCTACAATATTATTGTAGCAACATTCTATTGTGTCTTTGTTTACGTGTGTCTATTTCGCTATACTGTTAGATGTTGTCATACGTCACATGAATTAATCTAGGGATTAGACCCAGAGTAAAAATTACATTTAATCTCGCTGCAGAACAGCTCGAAATGACAAATCTCCTCCATTTTTCCCATTTCTCTACAGTACTTGTTTATTTTAACAGAGAAATATAAAAGATGCTACTCATACATTTAATAGCTCAGGAACATTAGCTACAGCAACATAAGCAATTTCTGAACCTCAAAAAATTTCATTTTTTTGGATGATATTTTAATAGTATGTACAGTATACTATGCCCTATGACCGTGGCCACTAATTTAACTCTATTCAAAAACAAAAACAGACCTAAGAATTTAAAAAGCACACACAAAACAGATTTGTATATATATGTAGCATGCACGATTTTATATAGATTAAACTTAAATTTTTATAACATTAAAAAAAAATATATAATTCAATATTTATAACAAAGAATTTGTTAGAAAGCAGACTGGACAAACTAAAAGCTATTTACAGTGGGGCAAAAAAGTATTTAGCCACCAATTGTGCAAGTTCTCCCACTTAAAAAGATGAGAGAGGCCTGTAATTTTCATCATAGGTATACCTCAACTATGAGAGACAAAATGAGGGGAAAAAATCCAGAAAATCACATTGTAGGATTTTTAAAGAATTAATTGGTAAATTCCTCTGTAAAATAAGTATTTGGTCACCTACAAACAAGCAAGATTTCTGGCTCTCACAGACCTGTAACTTCTTCTTTAAGAGGCTCCTCTGTCCTCCACTGGTTACCTGTATTAATGGCATCTGTTTGAACTCGTTATCAGTATAAAAGTCATCTGTCCACAACCTCAAACAGTCACACTCCAAACTCCACCATGGCCAAGACCAAAGAGCTGTCAAAGGACACCAGAAACAAAATTGTAGGCCTGCACCAGGCTGGGAAGACTGAATCTGCAATAGGTTAGCAGCTTGGTGTGAAGAAATCAACTGTGGGAGCAATTATTAGAAAATGGAAGACATACAAGACCACTGATAATCTCCCTCGATCTGGGGCTCCATGCAAGATCTCACCCCGTGGGGTCAAAATTATCACAAGAACTGTGAGCAAAAATCCCAGAACCACACGGGGGGACCTAGTGAATGACCTGCAGAGAGCTGGGACCAAAGTAACAAAGGCTACCATCAGTAACACACTGCGCTGCCAGGGACTCAAATCCTGCAGTGCCAGATGTGTCCCCCTGCTTAAGCCAGTACATGTCCAGGCCCGTCTGAAGTTTGCTAGAGAGCATTTGGATGATCCAGAAGAGGATTGGGAGAATGTCATATGGTCAGATGAAACCAAAATATAACTTTTTGGTAAAAACTCAACTTGAGGAGAAAGAATGCTGAGTTGCATCCAAAGAACACCATACCTACTGTGAAGCATGGGGGTGGAAACATCATGCTTTGGGGCTGTTTTTCTGCAAAGGGACCAGGACGACTGATCCGTGTAAACGAAAGAATGAATGGGGCTCTGTATTGTGAGATTTTGAGTGAAAACCTCCTTCCATCAGCAAGGGCATTGAAGATGAAACGTGGCTGGGTCTTTCAGCATGACAATGATCCCAAACACACCGCCCGGGCAATGAAGGAGTGGCTTCGTAAGAAGCATTTCAAGGTCCTGGAGGGGCCTAGCCAGTCTCCAGATCTCACCCCCCTAGAAAATCTTTGGAGGGAGTTGAAAATCCGTGTTGCCCAGTGACAGCCCCAAAACATTACTGCTCTTGAGGAATGGGCCAAAATACCAGCAACAGTGTGTGACAACCTTGTGAAGACTTACAGAAAACGTTTGACCTCTGTCATTGCCAACAAAGTGTATATAACAAAGTATTGAGATGAAATTTTGTTATTGACCAAATACTTATTTTCCACCATAATTTGCAAATAAATTCTTTAAAAATCCTACAATGTGATTTTCTGGATTTTTTTTTCTCATTTTGTCTCTCATAGTTGAGGTATACCTATGATGAAAATTACAGGCCTCTCTCATCTTTTTAAGTGGGAGAACTTGCACAATTGGTGGCTGACTAAATACTTTTTTCCCCACTGTATATGTGTGTATATATTAAATTATTTAATTTAAAAATTGTTTAAATATTCAGTAAAGGCAGTTGCAAATGATTTCATACATATATATATATATATATATATATAAAAGACAAATTATGTTATTACACACACAAACACAAGTTTGAAGATAAAATAAACTTTTACTCACTGAGGCAGAATGAAATGATCAGCAGCAGATGCATTCCGTTGAACAGCCAGAATTTTGAACTGATCACAAGCACTGGAGAACCTTTACATTTACACTTTAACACACAGTCATGTACAAATCATCCAAACATCTTTGAGGTCCCATTCACCTTCCTGTTTCAGAAAAAACTGCAAATTTGAAGCCAACTGTTGAGCCTGATGGATAAACGGGGGCTGTGACATCTGATTATTAAAGGGGGGGGGGGCTGTGGGATTAAAGATCATTTCCGTCTACACTGTTCATCATATCAGAGAAGAAGGATATACCTCCCTTGACAATGGTTCTATATAGCTTAGAGTATTGGCTTTTTGTCTCTCTGTCTCTCTCTCTCACTCTCTCTGTCACACTCACACACAATATACAAACAGATGGGGGAAAATCCCAGTAGGACTGTCATTTTAATTCCAGCATGGTACTTTCTAATACATACACAGTGGACAAGCCTCTGTCTGATTGACAGGCTTGGATTATGCCATTGCATAAAACTAAAGGGAGAGGAGAATAAATACGGATTACTACCTCTTATATAAAGCCATTACTATCAGTTCCTCTCTCTCATTTTCTCTATCACTGAATCTATTCATCTACTGTGTTTTTGGACATGGAATGATTGAAGTACCATGGTATTCTTTAAGGAAGCAACTATGTAAATGGCATGGTAGCTTACATGATATAGGCTAGTATATAATTCAATACCATACAATAGACAGCCATGTGCCATGGTATTAACATCTAAATCCATCACTGTTCACTGGTAAAGCCATAGTAATTTTTGTAGTGTTTTCCTGTGAACCTATATAAAAACACTGCATACCAAATTCTTTATTATAACTAGTATAGGCCTAAAGATTCCAATAAGGTAAAAAAAATGTTTAATCAAGTCACAAATGTAACGTGAATTATGATATATTAATTATGTTTTTACACACTGTATGAGAGGCATTTAACCTTTTCAAGTTGCTTGCTAAAAAAAACTACCATTAGGTGGGAGTAAAGTGAGTCGAATACTCAACAGTTGTATGACGCCCTAGAGTCAGCGGAAGTGACGCAGTTTGTGTGGATGTGGGGCTGTCATGGATGAAGTTGGTTCACCGTCGCGTCGTCGCGGTGGTCCTACGGGGTTCTCCGCCGTGCAGTCCGACACTATAGAGGGTCTGACAGAGCTGGAGGATCTGGAGCGAGTGTATGCGCAGCTATGTGCCGAAGAGGTGAATATTTATTAGTGGAGACGCTGTTCGTTAGTCTCTATGAGCTGGACTACTAGTAAGGGTAGATAAACGCTTGTCAGCTGTGTTAGTTAGTTGATTACATATATCTATCAAATCAGCGTGTGCCTGAACTGTGAGATTGTGTGCATGTTGACTATGCATTGGCATGAACTGATTATAAACGCACCTCCCTGACAGGCGGAAGTGCAGATGGAGTTGGGCTCTCTTATGGGACAGCAGAGCAACATAGAAACAAAGATGCTCGCCCTGCAGAGGATGGGGTGAGTGTGTATGCGTTTTACACTTAACATATGCTGTTGAACTGAAAGAATAGAATAGAGTGTGCTAATGAATTGTGTTTTTGTGCATTCCTCAGACCCAACTTGCAGCTGATCGAGGGAGATGCTGTGCAGCTGTCTGGCATGATCAACTTTACATGCAGCCTGGCAGAGAACGTCAGCAGCAAAGTCAGACAGCTGGACCTCACTAAGGTGGCCATCATACACATTCGCATAAAATATACACTCTATCGAAATGACAGTCTCAGTCTGTGTATGTCAGCTTCCACTCAAGCTTTGCACCTGGTTCTGTTTCAGAAAAGGCTGTACCAAGCAATTCAGAGGGCAGATGATATTCTAGATCTGAAGTTCTGCACAGATGGTGTTCAGACAGCCCTGCGTAACCAGGATTACGAGCAAGCTGCTGCCCACATTCATCGCTATCTTTCTCTCGACCAGTCAGTGATTGAGCTCAGCAAGCAGGGTGGAGAGGGTGAGTACTTTTTGGGTTTTCTAGCAACAAGTATTACCACTGCAACTATTGAATAGTAATTTATTGAGTCATTTTCAAACATGTATGTCTATGGCAAGGGTGCCTGGTGTTAGAAATTGAATATATGATATGGATAATTTTGCTGAATAATTCAACAAAAAAAATTTATATTTCAGTAACCATGTTCTTTTGCCTATTGGTGGATAATCCAGTGAATTAAATATGTTTAGCAATTGTAAAGTGTTTTATCTGATTAGATTTTTTTTTCTTTTTATTTGAAAATTGATGGATGCTAATTAAATGGTATGATAATTCATAACGAATAACAATCTGACATCTTAACAGCTTAAAAAGCTGCTTTTGGATGGTTATGACTTTGCAGTTTAATAAGTCATCCTTGTAGCTACTATAATATACATTGTTTTAAATTTTTTCTAAAGAAATCTCTTATGCTCACTGGGGCTGCATTTATTTGATCAAAAATATATTTTAAAACTTCACTATCACTTTTGGTCAGTTTAATGCATCTGTTGAATAATAGTATTAATTTCTAACAAAAAATTAAAAATCTCACTGACTTCGAACTTTTGAATAGCTGTGTTTGCACACTTGTCACTGCAAGTTGTCTGATACAAACAGTATTATGCATATTGTTAAATGTGATTTGTAGAAATAATAGACATTGTGCACAAACTGATCAAACTGATGCACGCAGATACTTAGAATAAGATACTTATATTATTGTATTATCTGTATGCTATACATTGTGCAGGCAGTGCAGTTGAAGCCAGCCTTGCATTGCTTCAGGAAGCAGAGCGCAATCTGAAGGCACTGGTTACAACACGACTGGAGGAGGCAGTTGCCACAGGCAACTTGCCTCAAGTGGAGCGCTTTTTCAAGATCCTTCCTTTACTGGGACTTCATGAGCAGGGACTTGCACGCTTTGCTCAGTACCTTTGCAGTCAGGTAGGGGCATATGTGTATGTCCGCCTTAAGCCCTGGACACACCAAGCCGACGGGCAATGTCGGGTGGTTTTTGAGTGCCAGTCGGCTTTTGTTTTTTCAAAGTTGGAAGACCAAGGGCTGACAATGCCAGTGCCTTTTGCAACTTAGCAGACATGATTGAAAAAAGCTACACAAATCCATCAGTAATGAGCATGGCTGGTGTAAACAATGGTAAAAGCAAGCACTGCTTGCTTTGTATGTCCACAGTTCTAGCTCTTCCGGTTTCCCTGTTTGAATGCTGAACTATTGCCACCTGCTGGTATGGGAGAGTTACGTTCTCTCAAGCAAGCGCAGAGCGTACACGCTAGTTGGCTGTCAGCTGTAGTCTGTCCGGTGTGTTCTAGTGCAACTTTTTTTTTTCCCGACGCAGGCGATGTGAGGCGACGCCACAGTTGGCTTTCCTCAGCGCTAGTTCTTTGGCCTCAGTTTGGTGTGTCCCTACCTTTGCATGACAAGTGAAATCAGTTGAGAATGCTTTGGTTTAGTTACTTGGATTCTAATATTAAAACCTGTGTCTTTTGCTTGCTTTTCTTTCAGTTGGCCAGTAAGGCAGAGGAGAACTTACTCCTAGCTGTTGGCTCTGATCTCGGCGAACGCAGAGCACCGGTCATTTTTGCTGACACACTCACACTGCTTCTTGAAGGTAAGAGCAGATGTATCGCTGTTTAACTTGCCAAAATCTATAATGTTTAAACCGAGATCAACCAGCCTTGGTCTGTAACTGTTAGGTATTGCACGCATTGTTGAAACCCATCAGCCCATAGTGGAAACATACTATGGACCAGGACGACTACACACACTCCTTGCACACCTTCAAAAAGAGTGTGATAAACAGGCTCAGAAAATAGTGGACAAATTCATCCAACAGAGAGATTACAACAATAAGGTGTGTAGTGTCTTTACTGTATGCTGTATTTGTGTGTATATGTACTAATACTTAATGTTTGTACTATGAATGAAGTGTGCTTTGACGTAGTTATACACATGATGCATACATTTGACTTTTGTTTTGCAATAGTTTCAGGTTATCCAGAGCAGCATGATGAGGGGCATGACTACAGAAAATATTGAGCCCAGGTGTGGTCTGTGTTATAATTGTTTATCTTTGTATCTTGTGAATACATGGTGTTTTATTTGTTGTTGTATGTTTAATCTAGAGACCTGGATCCCGTGTTATGTGAGGTTACCTTAATGAACTCCAGAGCCGAGCTATACTTTCGGTTCTTGAGGCGGCGTATAGTGGCTGACTTTGAGGTTGCAGATGCAGTGGCAGATGAAACAGTTATACAAGGTAACACCTAACTTTTTATGCAAAATGAAACTACTCTATGAAACAAAATGTATAAAGTACAAAACTGTCATTAGCTGTAGCCTGGCAGTTAGCACACATGCTACTGCACAGTACTTCCTAATCCAGTTTCTCCCCACCATTGCCTGTTAAAAAGAAATATATGTAACTAAACTAGGCTATACAAACTGGGCAAGTGTCGAATATGTTGTTGAATATGCTGATTTATGTAAATGAATACTCATCACTATTATGATTTGGTATCTTCTGCTGGCATTGTTAATGTTTGATTGTTTGTTTTGTTTTCTAGAGCATCAGCAGAGTTTAGAACAGTTACTAAAGAACTGCCAGCTGAGCCGCACTATGCAGGAGCTGATTGGTTATTACATTCCCATGGAGGAGTATTACATGAGAGAGTCTGTCAACAAGGTGTGACATATATACAGTCAATAATTTCATGCTGTCTTGTGTGAATGTACATTACACTTGAATCAGAGATATCAGAGTTATTGTCAGACACATGTACACTTCCATTCAAAAGTTTGGGGTCATTTAAGATTTTTTATAAAATGATTTAATTGAGCAAGGATGCATTAAATGTATGTAGTGACATCAAATACTTTTTTGTTGTTACTAAAGATTATTTCAAATTAATGCTGTTCTTTTGACCTATTTATTAAAAAAAGAGTCTTGGAAAAAGTTTTCTTTTTCACAAAAATATTAAGCAGCACAACAGTTTTTACCAAATCAGCATATTAGAATGGTTTTTGAAGGATCATGTGACACTGAAGACTGGAGTAAAGACTTTAGCTTTGCCATCACAGAAATAAATTACATTTTTACAATACATTAAAATAAAAAAGTTATTTTAAATTGTGATAATATATCACTTTTTTACTACATTTTTTAAAAATCTAATAAATGCTTGGTGAGAACAACAGACTTCTTTCTGACCCAAAACTATTGAAAGGTGTAGTGTACCTTCCTACATTTTCTAATTGTGTCCTTGTTTTATCTACAATAGTGTTTTAGTTTTGCCATCGTTAAATTGCAGATACATTTCTTTGGCAGAATCTATGTACTCATAGGTTGGTTGATATGACCTTATAGGCAGTTGCCATGGACACTGCTGAGGTGGGTCAGCTGAGCTCCAGCATGGTGGACGATGTTTTCTACATTGTGAAGAAATGTATCAGCCGAGCCCTCACCAGCAACAGCTCTGACTGCGTGTGCGCTATGATCAATCATGCAACCAGCGTTCTGGAGACAGACTTCAGGTATACGCACAAATTTAGATTTTAATTAGCCTAAGTATGTTTTGTTACTATTGTGTTACTACCGTAGTGGTGGTTGAAGAGTTAGAAATTCACATCATAGAATTTTTTGAAAAAAACTAAAATCTGTATATGCTTTGCATTTCTTTCCTTGTATGCAGAGAGGTGTTGGTATGTAAGCTGCGAGCTGGTTATCCATTCAGTGCTCTGCAGGACCTGCAGCGTGGGGTCAGCAGTGCAGTCAGTCTGATGCAGAGCAGCTTGCAGCATGGCAAGATAACAAATCTTACACAAACACTTGGGATTGAGAGCCAGGAGCAGGCAAAGAGCACCTACTTGGTCAGCATCAAGTCTTTCTATCTCTCTCTCTCTCTCTCTCACACACACACACACTCAATGTATTGTCACTTTTCACTTGTTTTCCCTTGTGTAACTTAAATAATGATATGTTTGGTTCTCAGGTGGCTCTCAATAATGTGGAGGTCTGCAGTGAGAATATCAGCACCCTGAAAAAGAACCTAGAGGTCAGTGTGATATTACTCTCTGATTTTTAAAAAATTATATATATTTTTTTTATTCCAGCCACCAAACAGAATCACGCACTCTGTCACTTGCTCACCATCATGTTTTCCCAAAACCGTGAGACTTTTTTTCCATGGAACACAAAAAGAGACATTTTGAAATATTTTCTATGCAATTACAGTTGCAGATAGAAGCTTACAAGCCCCCATTAACAGATCAAAAAAAACTTTCTCTCCCTGTACGTCTCAGAGTGATTGTGCCAAGTTATTCAGTCAGGGAGTGGGCTCAGATCATGCGAAGGCTAAGATAGACAGCTGTCTATCTGATTTGGTCAACACCTCCAGCAGATTCAAGGACCTCCTCCAGGTCAGTGAAAATCTATTTATACACTACCATTCAAAAGTTTGAGGCTGAATTTATTGGATCAAAATACAGTAACAACAGTAATATGTGATTACAAATGTATTTATTTTTACTTTAATTAAATGTAGTTTAAAATGTAGTTTATTCCTGTGATGGTAAAGCTGAATTTTCAGCTGTCATTACTCCAGTCTTCAGAGTTACATGATCTTTCAGAAATCATTCACATATGCTGATTTGGTGCTCAAGAAACATTATTATCAATGTTGAAAATAGTTGTGCTGCTTAATATTTTTGTGGAAAACATGAAAAGTTTTTTCAGGATTGTTATACGAAAAGGTTAAAAAGAACAGTATTTATTTGAAAAGGAAATCATTTGTAACATTATAAATGTTTTACTGTCACTTTTGATCATTTTAATGCATCCTTGCTGAATCTTCTTACTGACCCAAACTTTGGAATGGCTGTGTGTCAACATCATCTGTCTTAAATGTTTGTGCTGTTTTTGTTAATGGTTTATGCTTGTACAGGAGGGTCTACAGGACCTTAATAACACCTCCATCAGGCCACAAGTAAAACCCTGGATCAGCAGCTTCCTGTCTCTCTCACACAATATTGAAGAGGTATGATATGATAACATTGCCGTATCTACTACTATTACTACATCTACTGATAAAGAGTGGAAATAAATCTGTCTGCACTTGAGTTGACAATGATAGCAATAGAAATACTTTTTACTTTATTTATTTTTTTCAATTTGTCTTTTATTTATTTGTTTGGGGATAAGTTAAGCCGTGTTTTGTTTTTAGGAAGAGTTCAGTGAGTATGAAGCCAATGATCCTTGGGTTCAGCAACTCATTGTCCAGTTGGAGCAGCTTATGGCCGAGTTTAAGGTATATTAATTTTAACCCACTTATAAAACCTATTATAATACTAAAGATGCCTCCCTGTAGGTTGGCCTGTCACCAGTCATTTACGATACTCTAACTAGCCTGATGACCAGCCTCATCGCTATGGAGTTGGAGAAGACTGTGTTCAAATGCACCTTCAGCAGGGTGAGATGTAAACCTGCCCTGAAATGAACAGCCTCATATTTGCTTAAAGTCACAGACATCCTAACTGTCCTCTCCATTCTGCATTGCAGCTTGGTGGATTACAGTTTGATAAGGAGCTGCGCGCTTTGGTTGCCTACCTCTCCTCTGTCACCTCCTGGACCATCAGGGATAAGTTTGCCCGACTCACACAGATGGCAACTATTCTCAACTTAGAAAGGGTATGTGGCTTTTTGACTGCCATTTACATTTTTAATCACTGAAAACGGGTCTAAGTGTATTAGAAAAGAGTGTTTTTAATTTTGTTTGTGTTTTCTTCCTTTAGGTGTCTGAGATCCTGGATTATTGGGGACCCAACTCTGGGCCTTTGACTTGGCGTCTGACCCCTGCTGAGGTTCGCCAGGTCTTGGCTCTAAGGGTAGATTTCCGCAGCGAGGACATTAAAAGATTACGACTCTAACAGAACTAAACAAAAACACTTTCCACTTAAGGTTTTTATGCATAGAAATTGTGTTTTGGGTAACTTGAATGGAGGTGTGTTATCTCTGAACTTTTGTATACGCAATTTCTTCTTCTTCTTTTGTTTTTTTTTGTTTACATATGTAATGTATTACCAGCCAACATTGTGAATCAAATAGTCCATGAGCTATTCTGAAGCTCACACTCACTTAAATAAGCTCTTCATACAAATAAAGGCCAGTATCTTCTGCCCACAAAAGTATTTTTTGCTAAATACTGGAAAGGTTGGTTAATTTAAAGGGGTCATATGATGCGATTTAAATTTTTCCTTTCTCTTTGGAGTGTTACGAGCTCTTGATGCATAAAGAAGATCTGTAAGGTTGCAAAGACTAAAGTCTCAAATCCAAAGAGATATTCTTTATAAAAGTTAAGAGTCAGCCACGCCTACCTAAAACAGCTCGTTCTAACACGCCCCCACATGTCTACGTCATGATGTGGGAAGATTTGCATAACGCCGCCCAATAATAATGTACAGTATGTGGAAAATAATGTGTTTTTTAACCTTAAACCGCATAAACACATTTAATTACACCAAATAATGTTCTTTTTAGCAACATCATATGACCCCTTTAAGACAATTCATTAAAATGAAGATTCCTAGAATAAATGTGATGCCACGAGGCTTCAAATAGAAAATAAATAGTTCTCTATAGTGCACAATATATTCATAACTTTTGTGGTAAAGAATCTTACAAAGCGGATTCAGAACTAAACCATTTGCTTAAATGTCATACCACAAAAAAACTCCCACGATTTATAGTTCAAAAGCAGTTTACTTCCAACCAATAATCTTTTCTAACTGCGTTAACCTGCATGTAAAGAATCAGTTCGTCTGGACCAGAAACTCTGATCTGATACACTTGGACATTAAAAACAAAGAAAATCCAAATGATAAGCTGTTGTTTACACAGGTATGAAGCAGTCTCTGTGTGCATGTAACATGGTTATTGAAGTGTGGCAGTAGGCTGATCTTGGGTCTGCTGCCTCCAACACTCAAACAACACAAACGTGTATCATTAAATATTAAATGAGAAGGACCAGTTTGCTGAACTCATCTCAGTTCCCGTGCAGCGCTGTGCCTGACAGCTCGTGCATACAGGTTGAACTCCTGTATCTGCGCTCTAACACACAGCTTGTCTACTATCCGAGTCCTGGAGAAATTTTAAATGAGAACTACGATGATACTTCATTGTCGTCGCCTTGTCTTACAGAAGCACCGAACACAGACCGTCCTTTGCGTCTTTAGTCCATCGTTTCTTTGCGTTGTTCGTCAGAGTTTCCTCGTAATGATGGTGTTGGTGGAGATCAGACGGTCCCGCTCCCGCAGCTCCTCCTGCAGCCGTGCCTCGTTGACGCGCAGCTGTCGGATAGTGTTCTTCATCTCCTTCATTTTGATCTCCATCAGAGCGATGATGTCCCGCTGCTCATTCAGCTTCCGCAGCAGTTCAGCGGACGTTGTGCCGGTGGTTAGAGAGTACGAGTGATCAACTCCGCACAGCACGAGATCGGCCACGGGGCACGATGCGCTGCCTCCGGACAGATTTCCGCCCGAGACCACCGCCGTGAGGCAGGAGCCGTCTCCTGAAGATGTGAAGTCTACGGGCGTGATGTACTGGCCGTTCTGACCTATCTGCACCACGGTGGCGTTTTCGGTGTCCCCTTCTTCCTCCACTGGCACTGACTCATTAGCTGTGGAAACGACGCTGCCGATGATGGGCACGACCGCGGAGACCTTCCTGCTCCTGCCCCGTCTGCTCTTCCTCTCGTTCACCCCGCGCAGAGGGAAAAGAGTCGGGACGCGGATGGTGTAGGTTTTCCTGCCTCCGGGAAAGTGGACGCTGCAGACCCGGTGGCCGGTGGTGGGCTGGAAAGTGCTGAAGCAGCCGCTCACCCCGGCCCGCGAAATGTTCTTCAGCCATATCTCTCGCTGAGTGGGATCCTTCGGAAATGTGTAGAACCGCAGATCGCGGTCCCGGTGTGAGTTGTTGTAGCATCCCGGAACGCAGCAAGTAAAGCCGGGCATGATTGTGTAGAAGATGCACCAGTATTAGCGCGGTCCCTTGGAAGTTTCCTTAATTTTGTTTTGTTTGGTTCCTTCGTGTGTTGTTATCCAGACCAACGGCCTACAAGCGGAACTACACGTCCCACAATACTTACGACTTCCTGTTTTGGTTTCAAACGCTAGTCGATAGACTTGAGTCTGTGCAGTTATACGCCTTTGGAGGACTTCACAATGCAAGGCCACGAGTGTTTGTTTAAACAGTGTTTAACTACTATGTACTATGTGTAACAAACCTAGACAGTTTTGAAATCATATGTGTATGCTAAAAATAGAAGTAGTTTCATTCCTTTGTAAATCAGTGTAAGGCACAGAGCATGCTGTTGTTACGTGGTGTATTGTAGCACCAATTGAAAACTTTTAATTTTGTGTAGCCTATATAATTTTTATTGTGGTAATTACATTGACTTATTCTAAATACTGATGGCATCCCCCAGCAGCACTCCCAGTTAACCAAAACATTTCAAACAATGTGTCTTGTTTAGGAAATACATTACATTACAGCAGCTTGAGCAACCGATGCCTACAAAAATATATAATGTATGTAATTTATTAATAGCCCTTCAAAATGGCATGACCACCAATATTTATTATGTAGCATGTGCTTACATCATATAAATAGAGAGTCCAAAGCATCTAAGGTAAATCTAGGTTGCTTATCTTCATGATAAGCCCTGAACACTACGTAAATATGCCTTTGTACCTACGATAAAGAGGTCTTTTGAAGGGATAGTTCACCAGAAATGAAAATTCTGTCATTTAGATGACACAAGTTTCTTTCTTCGGTTGAACACAAAAGAGCGTATTTTGAAAAACGCTGGTAACCAAATAGTTTCTGGTAGCCTTTCTTTCTTCTGGAAGAAAGAAACACATACAGTCATGGCCAAAAGTTTTGGCAGTGACATACATTTTGTGTTTTGCAAAGTTTGCTGCTTAAGCTGTTGGCGTTGGTCATTCACATTGTTTCTAGATTATTGTGTAGAGTGATCAGATGCATTTTAAATAATTGCTAAAAGCTTCATTGGCCAAAAAAGTAACTTTTCACAAAAAAGCAAATTTCACTGTTTTTTGATCCTGACACAAAATGACCAGCTAACATTAACTGACTAATCAAATCAGCAGCACATGTGAAAGTGTGAATGAGTACTAGTCAGGTTAATCACTATCATACTAATTAGATTGTAAGAGCAGACTGATTGCTATAAAAGGAGGGAAGAAGCGCTTCAAATCATTGTGTTCTTGTTAGCAATAGTTACCTCCAAAGAAACACATGCAGCCATCATCGCTTTGCATCAAAATGGCCTCACATGTAAGGAAATTGCTACAAAGAATATTGCACCTGAAAGAACCATTTACCAGATCATCAAGAACTTCAAGGAGAGAGGTTCGACTGCAGTGAAGAAGTCTTCGGGATGTCCCAGAGTGTCCAGCAAGCGCCAGGACGTCTCCTCTTGAGGAGTCAGCTACAGAATCGTGTCACCACCAGTGCAGAGCTTGCTCAGGAATGGCAGCAGGTTGGTGTGAGAGCATCTGCACGCACAGAGGCCAAGACTTTTGGACAACGGCCTGGTGTCAAGAAGAGCAGCAAAGAATCCACTTCTCTCCAAGAAAAATATCAAGGACAGACTGTAGAAATTCTGCAGGAAGTACAAGGATTGGACAGCAGAAGACTGGTGCAAAGTTATTTTCACTGATGAAGCTCCCTTCTAACTGTTTGGGACATCTGGAAAATCGATTGTTCGTAGAAGTAAAGGTGAACACTACCATGAGTCTTGTGTTGTGCCAACAGTGAAGCATCCTGAGACCATCCATGTGTGGGGTTGCTTTTCAACCAAGGGAGTGGGCTCTCATAATTCTGTCCAAAAACACTGCCAGGAATAAAGAATGGTATCAAAACATCCTGCAAGAGCGACTTCTTCCAACGATCCATGAGCAGTTTGGTGATGATCCATGCATTTTCCAGCATGATGGAGCACCATGTCACAAAGCAAGAGTGATAAAGAAGAGGCTCGAAGATCATTACATTGAAATTTTGGATCCGTGGCCAGGCAACTCCCCGGATCTGAATCCCATAGAGAACCTGTGGTCAGTCCTCAGAAGGCGAGTGGACAAGCAGAAGCCCACAAATTGTGATCATCTCCGAGAACTAATAAGGCAAGAATGGATCACCATCAGTCAGGATTTGGCCCAGAAGCTAATATCCAGCATGCCAGAGCGAATTGCAGAGGTTATGAAGAACAAGGGTCAACACTGTAAATATTGACTCATTATATGTTTTGGGCCAATTAAAAGCCTTTAAAATGTATATGCTTATCATTGTTTTTCAGTATACCATAGAAACATGTAGAAAAATAATCTACAAATACTGAAGCAGCAAACTTTGAAAAAACACAATTTATGTCACTGCCAAAACTTTTGGCCATGACTGTACAGTTTGGGAACAACATGAGAGTGAGTAAATTACAATTTTCATTTTTGGATGAACTATCCCTAGAATGTTTTCTTTTTCAACAAATTGTCATGTGAACGAGGTTAGAATTTTTTTGAGGCCATATTACCAAAATATTAGAAAACGAATATGTGCAGTTTAAATTCTGATTTGTGTTATTTTCTAGTAAGGGTACAAATAATTTCCCGCGTGTCACAATTTTAAGGAATATAACCTACTTACTGTACAAAGGAAAACGGTTTTAATAATTACAAATATTGTATTACAATTAATCTAATATCAATTCAATGGATTACCTCAAAATCGTGACAATTTTGTTATTGTTTTCATTCGATGCAACCGAGGAGACCTCTGTTGTGGGACAGACTAAAATCGTTTAAAACTACTTTTTATGCTGGGTTCTTGGATATGTTTAATTACAAGTGTAATTATGCGTGTTTATCAAACATATTTAATATGTCCTACAACCAAAAACTTGTGACTGTGCATTTAGACTAAAAGACTCAGTTCAATGGGCGTGGCAGGGGAAAAAAGCAGACCGTTTCGCGCACGCGCACATTGTCGAATGTCTAGCTTGGGAGATCAGCGATGAGTCCACACAGCAATGAGCCGTAAGCGCAGAAGCAGCATTGTGGAATTACACGCGAAACAACACACCGTGATTTCAAGACGGACGAAGAATGTCCCATACGTTGAGAGGGTGGGAGGCGTGACGGGTTTGTCCTGTTTTTCCTCCTGCTGTTGAGACACGACATGAGAGCTCAAAGCCCTGGCTAAAGTGGAGCTGAAAGGGAGGGAGGTGTCCACCATCCTCTGGCCGTCATCGTTCTCCACAGCACCGGCGCCATAGCATCAAGGCTTTGTGTTTCGGTAAGTTACATGCCGTATGGAACTAACATAGTCGTTTAAAAGGGAACTAACGTTCACCGAAAGCGTTGAATTTGTACGAAATCAAACGGATGTGTATTTTTGTGAGTGTGTGTGTGGCTGGACTGGACCGGTCTCGGCTAAGCTACAACGTTAGGTATCTGGTACAAGGAATGTTTAGTTTGAAAGTTTTGTGGTTTATATTGTTTTTAAGTAAAATATAACACAACCAACGTCTTTAAATGCTCAAATGTAAAACTCTTTAAGGGATAGCTAATCCGCCCGTCATCCGAGGGTTAGCGCGAGGAAGTGATGCTAATGTTAGGGTGCCCCTAATATGGGTCCCAAAATTGATACAATTTACGTTTCTTTATTAAAAACGTCATAATTCATTCTTCCATGTTAGTTCTTTAAGGATGTTCTTGAGAGTCATGGTTTTTTGCTCACCCTTTCTCGAGGTATTTACTTAGAGACATGGATGTTTGCAAATCAAGACTTTCTTTTAGCACTACTAGGAACTACCTTGTTTTTAGTCCATAGAGGAATTACAAACATGCTTCTCATTTGCCTTTGCTGGGCAGGTGCACAGCCATTGGGATGTAAATTAAATTGCAAGCCAGCTGGTAGGTCAGCAACGCCCAGGCTTATATCTGACAGCTTTCACTCGAGCCACTGGTAACAGCGGGGTCATACAGCTCCTTATCTCTATTGTGTATCGATCATGATAGCCTGAAGCGGCCCTGAGGTTAATTTTAACTTGGAGCTTGGTGTCGGCATGCTTGCTATTACATGCACTGCGTCTAGAGATAATTTTGCATTCCTGTGTAAATGTCAGCGTCAGTGAACTTTGATGTTTCTCTCTTTTTTCACAGGCGAGCATCTGTGTCACAAGAGATTACATTAGCAGTGTGGAATGAGACACCGACTTGCGTGAAAATGTCTTCTGTTAGAATAATGTTGCCGGGCGTGGGTGTATTTGGAACAGGGCAGACGGTACGTACCCTGGTGCCGTTGCTCCAAAAGGAAGGCTTCCCTGTTCAGGCTGTTTGGGGCCGTACGCAAGAGGAAGCAGAGTCACTAGCCAGTGAGTTGGACATTCCCTTTTCCACTAACAAGACAGATGATGTGCTGCTACACCCAGAAGTCCATCTTGTCTGCATATTGACACCTCCTCCACACACACGGCAGATTGCGGTAAAAGCTCTAGGTGATACTTATTTTTCTTTACCTCTTATCTTGATTGTCCATGTTGTCTCAGGGGATTGGGTTGGGTTCCTTCCTGGATTCAACTAGAGTGTTTACTGTGCTACTGTTTACTTTTACAACTTGGCACAAGCCACAGTGGGCTTTTTTTCCTGCTGATCAAATGTTGCATTCTCAGATCACAGTGAACCCCGCAGCACGGTTGAGATTATGCCGGTAAAGCACTTGCTTCAAGCAGAAACTTGTTAGGCAAACAACATTTGCAGTTTTGGTCATCGTTATATACCGGTAATCATTTTCTTCTCTTTTCTCATTCTCTATAGGTATAGGTAAAAATGTGATCAGTGAGCAGGCAGCTACACTGACAGATGCCTGTAAGATGGTGACAGCGGCAAGATATTATCCACAGCTTATGAGTATCATGGGAAATTCCTTGCGCTTCTTGCCCGCATTTGTCCAGATGAAACGCCTGCTTGGAGAGGGTTATTGTGGGAACTTGCAGGTATTGGAATTTTAAAAAAATTATTAACAGATACATTAATCATTCAATCAAAAGTTTGGGGTCCACATTATTTTTGAAAGAATTTAATACATTTATTCATCAAGGATGCAATAAATCATTCTAATATGCTGATTTTAAACAACATTTGATTTTTAACAACATCTGAAATAGAAATCTTCTGTATCGTGTGTCTCTGAAGACTAGAGTAATGGCTACTAAAAAATTCAGCTTTGCCATCACAGCAATAAATTTAAAAAAATGTATATATTGAACAGATTATTTTAAATTGTAATCTTTCACAATTTTACTGTTATACTGTTTTTGTTCAAATAAATGCAGCCTTGGTAAGCATGAGAGACTTCTTTCAAAAACATTAAAAAGTCTTATGTTTTGAACAGTAGTGTGTGTGTGTGTATAATGATATTTATATAATGACATGAATGTTAAGATTAAATATTATACCAAAAAATGCTGTTCTTCTGAACTTTCTATTCAAAGAATGCTAAAAAAAAAAAAAAAAAGTATCACCGTTTCTGCAAAAAAATGGAAACTCTTTCCAACATTGATAATAATAATAATTGTTTCTTGAGCACCAAATCAGCATATTAGAATGATTTCTGAAGGATCATGTAATACATTATTACATTATATTTGAAAATAGTGGATAAAAGCATCTGCTAAATGATTAAAATACATTAAAACAATATTAACTTATTTAATAAGTTAAAATTGTAAGAAATTTCACAAGATTACTGTTTTTACTGTATTTCTGAACAATTAAATGCAGCTTTGATAATACTTCTTTCAAAAACATTAAACAATCTTTAAAATCTTATATAAAATAACTCTTTTAAGTGACTGTTAAAAATGTGCATAGTAATTCAAAGTTCAAATTGTAAGCCATTCTTAAAATACTAATCATCTTGACTTCCCTTTGTTAGGGCATATGTTACTTTATTACGTAACTCAGACTGGTCAAAATAAAGAACTTATTCACTTAACGTTTTTTCTCTCTTTTTCAAGGTATGTGAAGCACGTGTTTATGGAGGCTCGCTGCTCAGTCAGTCATATGGATGGGCATGGGAGGAGCTCATGGGGGGAGGTGGCCTGCATACAGTTGGCTCATGCATAATTGACCTGCTGAGCCACCTCACGGGACGTCGGGCTGTGCGAGTGCATGGAATGCTCCGGACGTTCGTATGTCAGAGTGGCCCGGCCGGAGGGATTCGATCTGTAACCGCAGATGACTACGCTTGCTTTCAGCTGCTGATGAGTGGAGGCGTGGTCTGCAGTTGAACCAGCTAATCAAGGTGTTCAGGGTTGCTTGATAATTACAGACAGGTGTGCTGGAGCAGGGTTGGAACTAAAGTCTGCAGGACGGTAGCTCTCCAGGAGCAGGGTTGGACACCCCTGGTCTAGATGGTAACCCTCGTTCGAAATTCTCGCGAGATTAGTTAATGTTCTATGCTCAAGAGCTCTTGGTTTGGGAATCGTGCATCACAGAGAATGGACCGGACAAATATTTTTTTTATAATGCTTTGCCAATTTTTGAAAATCACAAAACTAAGAGGATTCTGACAATATGTGAAGCTTGTTCATGTACAGTTACAATGTTTTGGACTTGAGAGTCAAATGTATATTAAACTATCTTTTAATTCTAAACAAACCAAATGATTTTTGTATAGTGAACTTCGTATTTATGTGACGTGTAGTTCAATTTTCACTATAAACAGCCTTGATTAGTTCAATCATACATAATTCAGTAATCAGTTTAACATTGTAGACGGAAGTTTATACACAAGATGAAAAATTCAAAACACTAGCGTCTCTAATCTTTTTGTATTCTATTTGTTTTTTCTTTTTATTTATTATACAATTAACAAAAGCAAAAAGGGCCTCTAACACTTGCTCTATTCTTTTTCTATTCTATCGGTTTTCTTTTTATTTATTATATCATTTAAAAAACCTTGCTATGTGTACTGCGTTAAGCTGAGACTTGTTATAGCACTTGCATATCATTGCTTTCTTGATAAAAGCGTCTGTTAAATTACAAAAAAAAAGGTGACCCTACTAAAAGACAAAAAGTGGATGATAAATGCTTCATACACAAAACGATGAACTATTGTTTTTGTTTCTTCCTCACATTTTTCTCTGACCAACGCGTCAGTGCCAATACCCATGCGCGAGAATTTATCGCAAAGACGGTTACCGTCTAGATTCTAGAATACGGCGATCAGTCAGTCAGTATTCAAAGCCGTCTAGTTCGAAAATGGCGGCACGAAAGCGAAGTATAGTCTGGTCATTTTTCCAAGCTGAAGATGACAGAAGAGTGTTGTGTCTTCTCTGTATGAAGACGGTTTTGTATTTTGGTCACACGACAAACATGCTTCGCCATTTACGAACGAAACACCCCTCTGATTTTTCCTCGTTGGACAAAAGGAAGCCAGCGACAGATGCGGCATCCAAACGCAACGATAGTGGTTGCGTGGAAGGTATGAAAGGTTCATCTATTGTATTGCATTGTTTGCCATCATGTACAGTGTCACGTCTATTAGACATCTGGTTAGTTATGAAACTTATAAAAGACACCTTATATATTTTTTTCTTTGATTTGTGATGTTTTCCCCTCCATTTTGGCCTACTATGCACGTGCTTATAACTCATCACATGTGGGTCCAAAGCCAATACAAAGGCGCTTTATCGTTCAAAACAGCTCTCGTTGTGACTGAGATTCAGTATCGACTCCTCAGTAAGAACGGGTTCGTTTTACAGAGTCTTTGGTCAAAGCGACTAGAGTTTCGCTTAGGCCAGGGTTTTGGGTGGATGTCGCAACGACGCCATGTTGTTTTTTTTCAAACAATTGTCTATCGCGTTGCCTGTTTATAGAAGGCCAACTTTGCGTTTTTGATAGAATCCCAAACGAATTCCCCCGACTCGAGTCGATTCGACTCGTTCAGTCAAACGAATGAATCTTCTGAATCGTGTCGCTGATTTGGATCAGCAATATACGGTGCTCTGACTGAAAGAGGCTGCCCGCCCCCTCCTCTCCAGAATAAACTGGCCAGAAAACCTTCAACCGTAACGACCCCGTTCTGTATGATGTATTCAATAATATATACGAACGATCTATGATTGGTGAATTGTACATAATGTCTGTCATTTTCTAAAATCTCAATTGCATTGAACTGTATTTGATCCGAAATTGCTTAAATGATTTTAGCAAATGGCTGCAATATAACAAAGAGTGAAAAATTTAAGGGGGTCTGAATACTTTCCGTACCCACTGTATATATATATGTGCACAAAAATACTAAAACTTTATCATTTTATTATTATAAATAAGTTATTAAAAAACAAATTCAAAATATTAATAACAACACAATGATACTAATAACTATTGATGCACTGGTACTAAATTTCTCTGCCAATACTGATAGCTGATTATTCAAAATGATATTATCTACCAGTAGTTTGGTTTTCTTAAGGAAAAAAAAAATCTCTCCAAACTAATGCTGTAAACTGTACAGGGAACGCTATAATTTGGTACATTATCACAGTATTGGAGGTTAAAATTGACAGCAGAATCCATTATATTCAACTTCTATTTATTTTAAAATATAATAATCACACTCAACTGAAATGTTTGTTATAACTCAAGTAAGTTTATTCAAACATGCATATATAAATAACAGTAAATAAGCTCCCCATTTTTGTAGCTAAATAACGAACTGGGAACACTAGATAACTCCTGATGCAACATTAAGTGACGTTGATCAGTTACGTGCTGTTTTATTAATGTGTTTCAACGGTTAAAGCGCTAATTGAGTAATTACATCACACATGATACATTTTGGTAAGTGGTACTGTCCACATACCTTCTGATTTTCAGTCATGTTTATTTCATGCTACTATTAAATTAATTAATAAACTATTAAAGTGGAATTGATGGCTCACACTGCTGTGGAATTGATTTGTCATGGCACATTTAAGAGCATCAAAATGGCATTTATTGTTTGAATTTTCTGATAAATTGGACAGAATTTAAGAGCTGAGACTGTTTCTTATCAGAAGTAATAAAGCACAAAGCTCCTTGCAGTTGTTCTTTGATTATGCTTCTGTGCCTATATTAAGAGCTTTCATTTCACAATTTTTTGGTCCCTTAGGTGCTAAGTGGTCTGAGGGTGTGCGTATATTAGAAAGAGAGCGGGAGCTGACAGAGGCGTTGAGGCGTGTCCAGCAGGAAGAGGGGCGGAGCATTCAGCTGCAGAAGGAGTTACTGCAGCAGTTCCGTGAAATGGATGCTGAACGCAGAATGCTTCAGAACCAGAAATGTGAACAAGAGCAGGAGCACGCAAGATTGCGGAAGGAAAAAGAAGACCTCCAGAAGGAGAAGAATGAACTCCAGAGGGAAAAAGAGGAGCTGCAGAAGGAGAGAGAGGAGATTCAGAAAGAGAAAGACGAGCTGGAGAAGCAGAAACAAGAACTGGACTCTTGGAAAAATTCTCATGCGCAGGGACAGACCTCTGGATTTTACAATTGTTGATATACTTCAGTATGTCTGTGTCACAAGGAAACAAGGATTTCCTTTTTATGGGCGATTAGTTATTTCTTTATCCTTTTTATTTTTACAAGATTGATTTGGATTGTGGGAGTGGGGGAAATGCCAGGGATGTTAACCTACCAGGATTTCAAACACGTACATGCATGCGAATTATAGATTACCTGCCGTTAAAATAGAGATTCATAATAAGGCCTTTCATGTCGGATATCTAGAAAATCAGTTTCATTAAATCTACTCGCGCTGTGTGTGTGTGTGTGTGTGTCTATATATATATATATATGAGTGTTAACTCAAAGTTCGTTCCAAAATCGACCAGTGTGTGAATGTATTCAAGTGTTTTTGTACATATCTGCACTGGGAATAAAAAGAAAATTTACAGCAAATGTCCTTTCACAGTCATTTGTGCCATTTTTGTTATTCCTGCACAAGAGTTGATAACCTATCACATTATGTCACTGTTTTATTTTTTAAGTTGACGGTATTGGTTATCATGAAGGCTGGTAAGATGGATACAGTGTTGATATTTATTGTGAAGAGAAATTTAAATGAACTAACATGTTTTTACACGCATCTATTCAAAGCGTTCAAAAACTAATAGTTTAGCATCAAGAAGTTTCTAACATTTTTTTTTTTAAACCAATGAGACCAGATTGTCTACCCGTTGCCGAATAGGCCACAGGATCACACACAAGTTTTTAATTTAAGGAGAAGATCCACCAATATGTCCTTTCTGTCAAAACAGAAAGCATGTTTTATGAGTACTGTTTTAACCCTGTGAGAGAGGGTTAGTAACTCAGCAATCAATCAATAAAGGTTTTTTTTGTAAAAGCTGATATAGTTTTACCAAAATTTTCTCGTCATGAAAATAGCCACATAAGATGGTGTTTAAAAAAAACTTTTAGCATCTCCGAGGATATACTAGTGCTTGCATGCCAGCAAAAGATTAGTGTTCAGGTTTTAGGTGAGATGATGGAAATGTTAAAAACACAAAGAATGCTCAAGGTAGGTAGAGAGAGGGGGGAAATCTGTAGGATTTAAAGAGATAATTCACCCACAAATAAAAAATTCTGTCATTTCAAGTCTATGACTTTCTTCTGTGGAACATAAAACTTTTTATGAAAGTTAATTGTTCAGCAAAATAAAGTCATGTAGTCAAACATTATTATAGGAATTAGGAAATTATTACTTTTCTATAATTTAATCAGAAGCCAAAACGTGTGAGGAAAAATAATGCGGCCATTTTTATACAAGGCTCGTCTCACATAACTTGTAAAAACCGGCAACCACCTGCCGTAAAAATGATCACGTGATTTGTGTCAGTTACGACGCTTCGGTCGCAGCAGCAAAAGGCTGATTCCCAGTCACAACATTTGGAAATATCGTTGGAAGAGTTTTTGTTCTGGTCCTGACTGTCAGAACATTTGGACGTTTCCACCCCACGCCGTCTAATTCGCCATCATAATGCTGAATTTCTGTCCTCAGTGTGGCTCGAAGTTACAGTCTGGTTTCAGATTTTGTCCGTCATGTGGTGGGAAACTGCCAGAAGAGCTAACAGAAGCTGTAGCTTCACAGCCATCCGAACCACATCCACACTCTGCGCTTTCATCTGTGCGCGCCATTGAAGGTAAATACAGGTTTTAGTTCATCCTTATTTTAATTACGTTTATCCGAAAAGTGTCATCATGAAGGACTACAGTTCGTTTTGCTTGAGAGTCCTTATCAAAGAAGCAGAACAAGGTTATATGAAGTATAATATAGTAAAGCAACCAAAGTGATGACATACAGTAATGCTTTGATTCATGTCTTCATCGCAGCTTAAATACTTGAGTACGTTACATTACAACTGTTTAGTGGACCAAATGTTTGCTTGCTTCATATTTACAATGATAAGAACTCTTTGTTGATACATAGGTAAATTCAGGCGATAACATGGTCCAGTTTTCATGATTCATTTGTCATTTAGTTAATCTCCCAACTCCCCATAGTTGTCTAGTTGTAGCAGGTTTCAAAGTGGGCTTAATGTAATATCAGCATTTAACTGAAAGATTGAAAATGTTATATATATATATATATATATGCAGTGCATCGTTATGATATTTGTTAATCAGACATAAACCAGTCATATTTGTTTAAAATAACTTGAGACCCCCCATAAATCCCATGAATGGTCTCTCAACTGTATTCAATATTGACTGATACACCAAATCAGCATATTAGAATGATTTCTGAAGGATTGTGTGGCTGAAGACTGAAGAATGGCTGCTGGAAATTCAGCTTTACAATCACAGGAAAAAATGTTATGCAGTATTGCATTTTTATTGTAGTTGTAGTTCATCAATTAAATACAGCCTTGGTGAGCGTAAGAGACTTCTTTCAACAATGTTAAAGGGGTCATATGATGCTTTTTTAAAGATGATTATTTTGTGTATTTGGTGTAACAGAATATGTTGACATGCTTTAATGTTCAAAAAACACATTATTGTTCAAATACTGTACATTATTGTAGGTCCTCTATGCCCCGCCTCTCTCAAATGCTTCGTTTTCTACAAAGTCCCGCCTTCCGACAAGCGCAGTCTGCTCTGATTGGCCAGCCGACCCAGTGCATTGTGATTGACCGAACACCGCAAGCGCTCGTCGGAAATGTAACGCCCCTTACCATAATCGCGAGCTTCATCTTTCAAAATAAATGTAAAGACAGAGCCCGAAAGGGGAACAGAGTTGCGTGACAGACACAGTGATGAAGCTGTTGTGTGTTTGCAGTACACAAGCCACGGTTAAGACAATTTTTTCACGGTTAAGACTCCACTGTGATGTGCTTTCGCCTAGAAACACACAGCGTCTCCCTGACATGGCTGCTTCAACACTAACTGCTGTTCCTGAAACCACGGCTTCTTTCTTTGCGTGAACATTTGGGCAGCATTATGCTAATATTTCCACATAGTGAGGTAGATATGTGGGGGCGTGTTAGAACGAGCCGTTTTAGGGGGGCGTGGCAGAGTCTTAACTTTTATAAAGAATATCTCTTTGGTTTTGAGACTTTAGTCTTTGCAACTTCAGGGATCTTATCTATGCACAATCAGCTTGTAACACTCCAAAGAGAAAGGAAAACTTGAAATCGCATCATATGACCCCTTTAAAAAACATCTTCCAACCCCAAACTTTTGAATGGTAGTATATGCATAATACTTGTAAATCTATGTATATGCCTTCTGGCCTCAGTTGCTTCTTTTAAAATGAGTCATGGCAACACAGTAATCTACATTATTTTTGTAGTCACTTCTGCTGGAGACTCCTCACAATCTACACTGAATCGCCCACCTTTGCGTTCAACACGGCGGAAGACCTTGAGTGGCACAGCCACAGAATCTTTAGGTGAGTCTAAGGGTGTTGTGTGTTTCTATTGTAGAAACAAAGGCTTTGTAGTCATGCTAGAATCTGTGTGAAAGATGACTGCTTTATTTCAGATAAGACGTCTTTGCCAACTTCTCGAAAACGAAATGCATCCCCTCTGGTTAAAGAGGAGGAAGAAGTGTCACAGACAACATCGGCCATAATAACTCAAACCCCGGGTAGACACACTAAACTCACATTATTACTTTGAATGCTGGAGGATTTTGTGTGAAAACCCTCTGCTTTGTTTCAGTTAAGAAGTCATTGACATCTCCACAAAGAAGAAAGACATCCCCCCAGGTTAAAGAACAAGAGAACGTGAAACAAACTTTTTCGGTCACACTTCAAACTCCAGGTAAGATGTTGTGTACTGGGAAACTCTGGATATTATCTTAAACTTTAGATTTGGTAGCATTCTTTTAGCAGATTTTCTTGCTCAGTCATGTAGTAAATTGCAAATATGACCAAATTATTACCAATGTAATCATTTTTACATGGTATTACAGGTAAATTACTAATTAGGAGATTTTTAGTGGTTTGGCCTGAAGTTTTTGGTGTGCTGCATTATTTCAGATAAGACGTCTTCGATGTCACCTCGAAAATGCAAGGCTTCCCCCCAGGTTAAAGACAAGGAGGCGAAGCAAACATCTTCAGTTATTCAAAGCCCATGTAAGATGCGCTGTATAGAGGACAGGCTGCTCAATGTATAATAAAAAATGTTTCATGGTCTAAAAGTGATTACTTCACATTTCTTTAGTTTGTTTCATACTAAATGGCAAAATGTTGTTATTTTGTGGGGTTTTAGCCAAATGCAAAGCCAGGAAGCGTGTGTGCACTGTTGAGCCTGTCCCGGAGGGTACAGTGGTTTGTGACCAGTCCAGCAAAAAATGGAAGCTGGTTGAACTTCTGTGGCATACAGAATTAGATCTGACATATGCAGGTAAGACGTTTGTCAATCAAACCTTGCGGTCTTGATTAATGAGATGTGGGTGAATGCATCCATCTATGCATCTTAAATCCTTTTATCATTCAGATGATTTAGATGATAAAGTCAGATGAGATGATTAAGATAAAGATAACAGCAATGCATTAAATGTGGCTTATGAATCTAAATATTGTCTGTCTGTCTATTCTAATAAAGTGTGCCAGGCAAATCAGCACGCAGACTCAAATGAATGCAAGTACATGTTGCGACTGGTGAGTGCTGTGTTCACACAATGTAGCCTGTCTGTGTGCATGTGTTTGTGAGGAAGGTCCTGATGACTTTGTGTTCTCTTCCTCAGGGTGCTAAAGAGGGACAGCTGTTTAATGAACAGAACTTCCATCTGAGAGCAGCCAAACCTGATGCAGGTCAGTCATTTTAGCACTTGTAATGGATACATAAAGACCCAGTTTAGTGCAGCTACAGGATTATAACCACACCTTTCTTTTTCTTTGTCAATAGTGGAGAAATGGTTGAAATTGCACAAACTGGACTTCCTTGGGATTCCCTCCTGTGTAGGGTTTGGTCTTCATGAAGCATATAGGTATGTGGGTTTGTATCCTTTTGTTCAGAAACTTTTATAGAATATTACACTACACTACTACAACAAATGTCTGGGCTCAAAAAAATATAATTTTTAAAGAAGCAAGGATGCTGAATAAAAATGTCAGTGAAGACATTTATAGTAATTTATTTCATTTAAATGTTGTTTTTTTTTACCTTTCTATTCATCAAAGAATCCTGAAAATATGTATGGTTTCCTCCAAAATATTAAGCAGCACTGCTGTTTTCAACATTGATAATATGGACACTAAATCAGTGTATTAGAGTGTTTTCTGAAGGATTGTGGAGTAATGGCTGCTGAAAATTCAACCGTGCCATCACATGAATAATTTTTTAAAGTATATTAAACTAGAGAACAATTTTAAATTCTAATAAGATTTCACAATATTACTGTTTTACTGTATTTTTTGATAAAATAAATGCAGGCTTGATGAGAACAAGAGACTTCTTTCAAAAACATTTTGAAAAATTTAGTGACCTCAAAGTTTTGAATGGAAGTGCATATATAATCATAGATGCCAATACATAGTGAGGAAAGATTCCAAATGAAGATAATTCAAGACATTACATTGTGTTAGAAAAGTAATTAAATTGACATTACAAAAAGGGTTTTTGAAGCCAGTATATTATTTCCTTATCATTGAACAAACTGTATACATATCATTGAATTACAGCCAACAGCAATTCATTTTGCTAGTTGTCAGTTTGTCTGATTAAAAATGGTGGAATGTATTTACATACATTTTTCCACACCCCATCTGTATTATTGTTAGTCTTTGTAGACTGGCGTCTTTGTTCATTGATTTGCATTTCACTGATTTTCATAGTCTTGTGTCCCGACTGAGTGCCACATTTTATGATTGTGTGTAAAGATAAAAAAGGTTCAATGAGTACGACCTTATTGTGGAAGCTAATCATAACCATATTCACCTCCCTGTAGGTTTTTAGTTTTTCCTAGCATGGGCCAAACTCTACAGACAGTCACGGATGAAGGGAACTGTACTCTGTCTGAGAAAGCTGTTCTCCAGCTTGCACTACGACTAGTGAGTGTGCTATTAAACGACTTCACTCCCAGATTTGATGCTATTTCCATAGTCATGCCATTCTCAATGAAAAGGTTGTGTATATAGTATGTGTGCTTGTATGTGTTTTGTAGTTGGATGCACTTGAATTCATTCACGAGAAGGAATATGCCCATGCAGACATCCATGCAGGAAATATTTACATCAACACTAACAGTCACCCAGAGGTCAGTAAGCATGTCCCTTATGAACTGAACACAAATGCTCTATATAATACTCAAGTATTAAAGCGTTTGTTTGTGTTTTGTAGGTTTTCTTGTCAGGGTTTGGTCATGCATTTAGGTTTTGCCCTGGTGGAAAGCATGTGGAGTACAGACAGGGTAGCCGCACTGCACACCAGGGTAACCTCAACTTCATCAGCATGGATTCTCACAAGGGGGCTGGTGAGCATCAGTTGTTTATTACATTATTTACATCATCCATATAAGAAAGCAAGTCTAATTTGCATGCCCATTGGTGTTTTGCAGGTCCCTCTTGTCGTAGTGACCTGCAGTCTCTGAGTTACTGTATGCTGTATTGGATGACAGGCTCACTACCCTGGAGTCACCTCTCTCAAACAAGCTCTGCTATTGCTGCAGAGAAGGAGAGGTCAGTAAAATCACAAAAACACCTTCATCAGGCATGTATTCAAGAAAGACCGGGTGCATAAACTGCTTAAACTAGCCTTACAAGTTAGTCATCCATTTTTTTTTCTGCAAAACTGGTCACAATTTTAAGTCAAACAAGCTCTGCTATTGCTGCAGAGAAGGAGAGGTCAGTAAAATCACAAAAACACCTTCATGTATTCAAGAAAGACCGGGTGCATAAACTGCTTAAACTAGCCTTACAAGTTAGTCATCCATTTTTTTTTCTGCAAAACTGGTCACAATTTTAAGTACGTTACATAAGAAGGTAAATTGGTCTAAATTGAATCCATGAGCCAAGAGCTTTCACTGGCTTTTCAAAAGGCCCTTAGTCTAGAAAAACTGTCCCGTTGAGTGTACTTTTTAATCCGTTTAAATACAAGCGCCTGCTAACTGACTATTTAACCGTACCATATGCATTTAGAATCATAAAGGAACATTACTACTGGATGTAGAATTTTCAAGAATGAAAACATACCACTTTACAGAGGTAAGGCTACAATGATGTGCTTTTAAGTTGAATATGTTTTCTGCTTGCCTACAGGTATATTTCTGATATCCCTGGGCTTGTGAGTTACTGTTACAAACAGAAGAAAGCTTCAGGTGAGCATGCATATTTCTATTCTCACTTCATGTGTTTAGTGCTAGTGAAGGTGTGTGTGTGTGTGTGTGTGTGTTAGGGGTGCGCAATATATATCGTCTGCGATAATATCTGAATTGTTTTAACGATGTGCGATTTGACATTATCGAGTATTTTGCAAAAAAACATTCAAAACAGCCCCACAGAGTGCACGCATACATTACATGAAGTCTAGACTAGTGCGAGTGCGCATTTAGAGTGCCTTTCACTGCATGATTCATTCTAATGAAATGCCTTTAGATTGATCACAAATTCAAGACATGGGGGCAGAAAATGTATATATTTATACCACTTCATATAGCCTAGTTAATCAATTTCACACGAAGAATGCTGTTTTTTTTCTCCAAAAATGACCATGATTAAAAATGTGATATTGATTTTTTTATAACAGTTCAATAAACAAGAAGTTTCGTCTGCGATAATATCTGAATTGTTTTAACGATGTGCGATTTGACATTATCGAGTATTTTGCAAAAAAACATTCAAAACAGCCCCACAGAGTGCACGCATACATTACATGAAGTCTAGACTAGTGCGAGTGCGCATTTAGAGTGCCTTTCACTGCATGATTCATTCTAATGAAATGCCTTTAGATTGATCACAAATTCAAGACATGGGGGCAGAAAATGTATATATTTATACCACTTCATATAGCCTAGTTAATCAATTTCACATGAAGAATGCTGTTTTTTTTTCTCCAAAAATGACCATGATTACAAATGTGATATTGATTTTTTTATAACAGTTCAATAAACAAGAAGTTAATTAAGAGACTTACGTTTTAGACACCATATTTCCTGTTTTTGCGTCAACAACAAAAAAATTGCAAACACAACCACAGCATTATTTTGCATCTCTGAGCAACATGATGGTGTTTCGTTCCTGAATGAATCAACCATTTAAATGATTTGGTTCAATCGCAATGACTCACTTAACAGTGACTTGCTGCCACCAACTGGCGGTTTTAATTTCACATTCAGAGTATCTTTTATTATTTAAATCATTTCAAATATCAGTATTCAAAAGATAGTGGACACTTTTAGAAAAAAAATGGCTTTTTTAAAGGTAAAAATGCCCATAAAATGTCAAAATCAGTTAAAACTTATTGGAAAAGATTCATTTCTATCAGTGTGAACTGATCACCACTCAGAATATGAAGAATATCAAAAACTTTAGGAGTCAGCTGTCCTTAAGTTACCAGCACAATAACACACTCAGCAAAATATCGTCTAATTATCGTTATCGATAAAATCCCAGAAAATATTGAGATATTATTTTTTGTCAATATCGCACACCCCTAGCATGTTGTTGTGTGTGTGTGTGTATATACAGTGGGGCAAAAAAGTATTTAGTCAGCCACCAATTGTGCAAGTTCTCCCACTTAAAAAGATGAGAGAGGCCTGTAATTTTCATCATAGGTATACCTCAACTATGAGAGACAAAATGAGAAAAAAAATCCAGAAAATCACATTGTTTTTTTCTCATTTTGTCTCTCATAGTTGAGGTATACCTATGATGAAAATTACAGGCCTCTCTCATCTTTAAGTGGGAGAACTTGCACAATTGGTGGCTGACTAAATACTTTTTTCCCCACTGTATATATATATATATACATACACTCCTAAACAAAATCTATAAGACCGGGGGAAATATGAAAGAAAAGTGAAAGTGAAATGGTGACCCATACTTGGAATTAGTCCTCAGCATTTAACCCATCTAAGTGCACACACACAGTGAACACACACCCGGAGCAGTGGGCAGCCATATTGCTGCGGCACCCGAGGAGCAGTTGGGGGTTCGGTGCCTTGCTCAAGGGTCTCACCTCAGTCGTAGTATTGAGGGTGGAAGAGAGCGCTATTTATTTTCTCTCCTTACCGGCAATTCCTGTCAGACTGATGCTGACTGCAGCCCAGTAACCGTAAGACGGCATCTGCGAGAGAAGGGCTTAAAGAACAAAAAACATCTTCAAAGGCCACGTCTCCTTTCACGCCACAAACTTGCCCATTTGGAATTTGCAAGGGAGCACCAAACATGGGACATTGAAAGGTGGAAGAGAGTTTTATTCTCTGACGAGAAAAATTTTTACCTGGTCGGTCCTGATGGCTTCCAACGTTACTAATGATTTTGCGCAGATTTTAACTTTTTAAAGCTATGGTCTTAAACTTTTGATCAGCCTGTTTGAGCTTAAATGCAGTTTTCAATAAATTGCCCACTCTATTTTTTTGTCTCTTGCTCCTGCAGTACTTACAACCTGGATATGATCCACCAGCACGAAATGCGAATACTTGTATGTGTGTTTTCCAGGGACAGGAGCAGTTCATTGTCCCCGTGCCTTTTCTTCTCATCCCGGTGGAACAGAGGGAGCTGATGACAGCTGATCCCAGTAATGTCTGCTATCTAATTAATTGCTTTTTTCGTGACAACCCTTTGGACATTCAACCAGATTTCCTGCATGTGGCGCACTGTGCATACGTGTTTTTGTCTCGTGTGTGCAGTTGCAGATAGTGAGAGTGAGACACCAAATGACTTGGCCCCGCCCCCTGTAGAATCACATCCAACCAGCGCGTCAAGTGCAAACCAAACAATGGCTGCTCAGGACGGTATAAGTGTCTCATGTCCAGATGAAGGACAGTCTACTCTGGTACGCACAAGACCAGGTGAGATTTTACAAAAGAAAGTCAGTGCTGTTCCATGTGGATGATGTGTTATTAATCTCATCCCTTCATCTCCCAGAGGTTTTGTGTGGAATGGGGGAGCTGTCTGGGGATGGAGAGAGCCCATGGGATATGTTCACACAAGAGCTGGCTCTATTAGGTAGACGTTCCACCTCAGACTCGAATGGTAATTTCCTGTTCATACAAATATTTATTAAAATAACAGGGCATCATTGTAATTGTGCACTAATAATTTCAATCATTACTGTGCTGATACAGACCCAGAACATGAAAGTCAATCACTTTTAAAGGAAGTCCCTCCGCTGCCTATAGCAACAAGCACCCAAGCCCAATTCTCAAAGCAGATCTCAGGAGGGATGTCAGTGGATGGCATTACGCTCAGTCAGAGACCAAAACCGACTCAGTTTAGTCCTTCCCACTCGAGCGATAAGTCTTCTAGAGACCCCAGTCAGGAGCAAGACAAAGACTGTGCGCTGAGTCCTCCCTCGTGGCTCGTCCATAATACAGCCCCACCCTCTGAACAGAGGCCCTTAGCGTCTCCACCTGTTGGGCCAATGCCCTCAGCTTCTCCACCCACCAAAGCCAGGAAAGTGAGTGTAAATTATATTAAAGATATTTTGCTGTGTCCGAGCAGGGCAGTGTGGCTGATTGTGTAATATAATATGATTAATGCTTTCTGTGGGACTAACCAAATTAAGAATATATCTAATCCTAATCAATTTGTGCATTGCATCAGAAATGTTGCTACATTGTCCCAGCTTCCCTGTTGCAGGCACACTCAGAGATGGAACTCCTTTTTCCTATTTGTATCATCCACAGCCTCAGGTTGCCACAGCCCTCAGCCATTTCCAGTGAGTATGATGTGTTCCCCACTGCGACATGCTGATTATAATACACTTGTAATGTGATGGCCTATTATCTAAGAACTTTGTTTCACAGTTTTGTATTACTGTAATTACACAATACCAGTCAAAAATTTGGATGTATATACAGTATATTACTGACTCCAAACTTTCCACAAAAATATTAAGCAGCAACTGTTTTTAACTTAGAAAATAATCCAACAAGTCGCTGAATTTGTCCGCACACTGAAAAATGTTTCCAATCACTTTTTTGCAAAAAAGTTCTCTCAAAAATTTAGTTTTTATTATCCATATGCAAAAGTGCAAAGTGTATTAAAAACACACCAAAGAGCAGACGTTTCAGCCCATGCTTTCTTCAGTGCATGAGCAAATCTCAGTGCATTGTGAAAAATTACATTTTTGAGAGATCTTTTTTGGTCTGATTGGAAAAAAATTTCAGTGTGCGGACAAATTCAGCGACTTGTTGGACTAAAACTTTCTCCCTTTTGCTCTACGCACCTGAGAACTCATTGTTCTTTTTGAGCACACACAATTCCTGTTTGATAACTTAGAAAATAATGAAATGTTTCTCAAGCAGCAAATAAGCATATTAGAATGGTTTCTCAAGGATCATGTGACCCTCAAGATTGAAGTACTGGCTGCTGAAAATTCAGCTTTGAATGACAGGAATTACAAATATATTAAATATAGAAAACTTTTATTTATTTTATTTTAAATTGTAATTATTTTAAAGGGATAGTTCACCCAAAAATGAATATTAGCCCATTATTTACTCACCCTCAAGCCATCCTTGGCATATATGACTTCCTTCTTTCAGATTAATTAAATCGGAGTTATATTAAAAATTGACTTTGATCTTTCAAGCTGTTTAATGGCAGTCAGCGGGTGTTGCATGCTTCAGTCCAAAAGAAGTGAAATAAAGCATATCCATCCATAATAAAAAGTCTCTCACACGGCTCCGGGAGGTGAACAAAGGCCTCCTGTAGCGAATCGATGCGTTTTTGTACAAAAAATATCCATATTCAAAATGTAATAATCACTTTAATCTAGCTTGCTACAACAGTTGTATACGGAAGCAGCTACGGGCGGATGACGTATGAGGTCAGCGTTGCGCATGCGCCGGTGAGTCTTGTGAAAACCAACGTTTGTTAACAGGAGCAAAGGAAGCAAAGTTTCCTTACTTTAGCAAAGTTTCCTTACTTCTCTTGGCTTATATCGAAATCCTCCGACATTCTTCTTTACAAATCCTCGTTTTGTACTTCTAATTCGTGACCGTTGTTTTGTTTTGATCTCTCCCCTGCGCTTCCACTTTTGTCACTTCTGAGCGGCGCATGCACAACGCCTACGTCATCTGCCCGGAACTGCTTCCGTGTACAACAGTGAGCGCAATATTACAACGAGAAGGTGATTTATGAGGACATTTTCAGTGTCCCCGTAATTCAAAAGGCTTATAAATATGATTTTTCAAAAATGAGTTTTTTTGAAAATCTAAAAATGCTGAAAGTTTCCTGTGAGGGGTAGGGTTGGTGTAGGGCAATAGAAAATACGGTTTGTACAGTATAAAAACCATTACGCCTATGGAGAGTCCCCATAAACCATAAAAACAAACCTGTGTGTGTGTGTGTCTAGAATCCCAGGGCATCTGATACAGTGGGCAGTGCGTTATCTGGGGACCTCTGACTGTGGAGATGTCAGCACTGAAGCTGGTTCATAAGCAGTTACCTCAAATGACTTGATGTTAGTTTTTTTTGTTGTACAAAAGTTATTTTATTTTTAATATTAGGTGTAGTCTAAAATATATGTATATACATTATATATATATATATATATATATATATATATATATTCTATAAAACCCTACTGTTAATGGATGCTGCTGTCTTTAGTGTAAAGTAATTCAGTTGTGTCAATTATTATTAATAAATGTTAATATTCAAATACCATGACCTGTGTCACAGTTTGCATTATTTAATCACAATTTAACTTACATAACCATGTTTATCTCTTTTAAGCCGTGGTATTAACGCTTTTTACCAAACAGAAATTTTAATTTGTCACAAAGAAATGACTGAAGGTGGGCATGTTGCCAAAACACTAGGGATAAAATTTCAAAATAAAAACGCCACTTGGAGGCATTTTGCATCTGAACTCTTCATATACACACACACACACATACGTTTGTCCTGTTCCTTTTTAACTTTATATTCATAAAAGAAACTTGAAAAAAGTATCACAGGTTCCAAAAAAATATTAAGCAGCGTAACTGTTTCCAACATTGATAAATCAGAATATTAAAATGATTTCTGAAGGATCATGTGACACTAAAGACTGGAGTAATGGTTGATGAAAATTATACTTTTAAGTATATTACAGTTTTTCTGAATTGCTAAAACACATTTCTTGAAACAATCACTCATTTTCTCAAAACCTTAAACACAAATCCAAACCTTCAAACTATATTCACAGAACCCCTGACTCTTCTGGCAAAATCAAACAATCGCTTCAAAACCATTTCACCTTTACTCGAAATCATACAACGCTTTCAAATCATACACACAGTCAATAATATACACACTACAGATCATTCATTAGACACTACATCAAAAAATGGAGAACAGTGTCCAGTGTATGTAGTTACAAAAAATGTTTATTGTATTTAGTTAATATTTTGCAATAAACACACAAAATAATATATATATATATATATACATGCATACATATATATGCATACATATATATGTGTAAAAAAGAATCAGAGGACTTCTTCTACATTGCAGGCAGGCAATGGGGAAAAAAACGCTCTGGTGTGGCTGATCCAGCCTTGACATGGCAGCACGTTTATGTCACCACAGACCTGTTCTTCCACCCTGTCTTGTAATTCTACACAAGATTCTTCTCCACTCTTCTTTGCCGTTCCTTTGAACTTTACAACGGATTATGGTGGCCACAGAGAATCTGCTCAAATTAGGTTGAACTCTTGTCATTCCACGCACAAGAACATGGTCTATCACAGTAGCTCTGATTGCATCTGAAATGACTGTTCATGGTCTTCCTCTTTCTCGTCCTCCTCTTCCTCCATCTCGTATACGCACTCTTCCGTACCTCTCAGATTGATGGATGCACCCATGCCATCTGTGCACTTTGAACTGGCTTATATTCTGTGCATTCACATATTTAGAAACAAGTGTGAACAGTTTTGAATTATTGTGTGTAAATGATGACAGCCGTGTTGCAGTTGTGCTTAACTTTTGCTTTCTTGTGATTAGGGTTTTGCATCCCAAGTTTATCACAGTGCAAATTGCGTTTTAGTGAGTGAGAATGTGTTTAGAGTTTTGCAAAAAGAGTGCGTGAGATCTGCAAACAGTGTCTAAACTGCCTGAACTTGTTTAAGGTTTTGCAGAGAGAGTGATTTATTTGACAAATTGGTTTAGGCTATTGAGAATTTGGTTCAGAGAATGTGGTTTAGTGTCTTAGCAAATGTGGAAAAACTGTAAAGTAGAAAAACTTTATTTTAAATTTCACAATATTACTGTTTTACTGTATTTAAAAAAACATTATACATTTTACTGATCCCAAACTTTTGAACAGTAGTACTTAGCAAATGTGGAAAAACTGTAAAGTAGAAAAACTTTATTTTAAATTTCACAATATTACTGTTTTACTGTATTTAAAAAAACATACATTTTACTGATCCCAAACTTTTGAACAGTAGTGTATTTATTGTTTTTTGGACATAATATTTAATCAGAATCAGATTTCAATAAGTTTTCAGAGAAACTCTGCGCTATTCCACAGCTGACCTGGAGGGGCAGTACAGATCCAAAAGCGCCTCTGATTGAATCTGCACGAAGAAGAGCCAAGGAAATGAAAACAAAAGTCCCCCTGGGTTGTTATGCCAGCTAAAAAGCGACAGAATGATCCCGCAACGGGTAAAAAGAATAAGAAAGAGAAACGAGGTGAACTCGCCGTGATTAATTCGGATTTGAGGGATGAAGCTGTCCAGAAAAGCATGAGAGACGCATGGCAGAGGAAAGAGAGCTACGCTAATGGTATGTTTGTCCACCCACGTGACACAGTGAGCTTACACGAGTTCAACAGTCTTTTACAGAGTTACTGTTAGCAGAAAACAGCAGAATCAATTTGCTTTTTGCAGATGAAGCAAACTGGTCTGTGTATCTGTCATGTCTGTGAATTCTCTGGTCTCTGTTCCAGGTAATATCCTCCTGGACTGTGAGCCCTTCCCTCACTGTCAGATCACTCGTTTCCTGCAGAGTGAGAGCTTTGTGGAAAGTCTGCAAGCAGAGCTCCTGCAGCTGAATTTCAACAGCAAGTCAAATGATTTGTACAAGTTTCAACAGGTATCAGTCTGAATCATAGCTATATATTATGAAGAAGTGGATACTGAGCCCTGAATTCTGTTTCTTCTGCAGTCCGATGATCTGGGAGAGAGAAAAGAAGATCATATCTCACAAATAAGGTGAGTTCAAATGAGCTTCTGTGTTTAAGTTTCTGTCATTGACTTGCTCACAGATGTGGTGTTTGTTGGGATCTCAGGTCTGTGATTTTTGGGGAGTTTCGTGTCTGGCTGTCAGAAGTGTTGCAGGTGGATCTGGAGGCGACTGTCGATATATCCTGTGCAAAGTACGAGCATACAGGTAAACCATCTGACCACTTCTCGACGAATCACTGGGGTGTAGACAAGGAGATGATGTGCAGCTGGTCTTGACGTCTCTCGCTGCTCTTTGTGCAGATGTTTTGCTGTGTCACGATGATGAGCTGGAGGGACGAAGAGTTGCGTTCATCCTCTATCTGGTACCTCCCTGGGAGGTGAAAGATGGAGGGACACTGGACCTGTTCAGCACTGATGGTGTGTGATACAAGAGCATAAATAGGGTCATTTTACCAACAACATTGTTGTTATTAAGTTTAAAATAACTTGAATCATGCTATTTGAATCAACGTGAAACTGTTAATTTTGACTGAAACATGATATTCAACAAAAAGTCATGAAAAAGTTGTTACATATTATAAGAACAGACATTTTTTTTCTTTGGAATATGTTCTAATGAATCATACAGGAGGACCATGTGTAAATGTATTTAATTGTTTGTTATTTAATTAATTCATTATAATTGTGTGTGTTTCACAGAACACTGTCAGCCTGTGAGTGTTGTCAAGTCTCTGCTTCCTTGCTGGAACTCTCTGGTCTTTTTTGAAGTGTCCCCCGTCTCCTTCCATCAGGTAGTTAGAAGCAGTGTTGTTTCAGTATGACTTTTATACTATTATAGAATGTATTCATATTTTGAATTAGCTTTTATTTGTATGATTTTTGTTTTTTTGTTTTATGTGCTTTTGGCATTCATTCATTCATGTATGTATGTATGCATTTTATTATGCTTCAGTTTTTCTTTGCATTTAAAATTTTTTTTTTTTGTAAATTTAGTGCCTTGGCAAGGCAACATTTCAAATTTTTGTTCAAGTTTTTCATCCGATTCAATGTTACGTCAGTTAAACATGATTTTTAATAGTTTTTAATAGTCTTTACAGACCTGTATGACTTTCTTTCTTCTGTGGAACACAAAAGAAGATATTTTCAAGAATGTTGGTACCTAATTAGTTTCGGTTCCCAGTGGAAGTCAATGGGAACTGTGATGAGTGGGGGTGGGGCCGAGAGCCGTGGGAACGGAGCAAGTTTTTAAAATAAACACAAAATAGCGCGACGGCCCCTCGCAGACGACTGTCGCACACAGTGTATATGTGTTTGTTATAGGAGAGTTTGCTATTTGAGTGGGTGAATGAGATGTACCTGGATCCTCGCTATCAGGCTCGAGTACAGCAGGAATTCGAAGAAAGTTCTGAGATTTGCTTGGCTACTTTCTTACAGGTTAGTGTGGCGGCTCCTGCCAGCCAGTTGAAGATTGAACCCCTACTGCTATTATAGAATGTATTAATATTTTGAATTAGCTTTTATTTGTATGATTTTTGTTTTTTTGTTTTATGTGATTTTGGCATTCATTCATTCATGTATGTATGTATGCATTTTATTATGCTTCAGTTTTTCTTTGCATTTAAAAAAATTTTTTTTTAGTAAATTTAGTGCCTTGGCAAGGCAACATTTCAAATTTTTGTTCAAGTTTTTCATCCGATTCAATGTTACGTCAAGTGTTTTTCTGTCAATATGGGGTGCTGTGTGTACATTAATGAGGGAAAAAAATGAACTTACATGATTTTAGCAAATGGCTGCAATATAACAAAGAGTGAAAAATTTAAGGGGGTCTGAATACTTTCCGTACCCACTGTAAACCACCCATATTTAGTTTGATAATATTGCAACTATTAATCTCTTCCTGTCTCAGCACGTTTTGTTTTCTGGTAAGTTTCGTGTGATGTTTATATGCTGATGTATTGATGCCCGTTGCTGTGTTTAGGGGACCGGTGAGTGGTGCAGGTGTCGCTCATTGTCAATTACTCCACCGCCCCCACGCGTCACAGGAACAAAATCACAACACTGGTCAGAAGGATTGGTGCTCCATTCATCAGTGATTTACATCTGTTGTAACAAACTAAACTGTAGTCTTGACTGTCTTAGGTGGCAGAGGTTCTTTCTGAGGAAAAGTGCCGTTTATCTCTGAGTGGTTGGTTTCATGGCCCTTCTCTACCAAGACCCTCACGCTACATTGAACCCCCAGTTCCCCGACACACTCATATCCCCAGAGATGTAAGTCAAGTTAGCAGGAGAGAGCGTTTTTGGTATGTTGGCCTGCATCTTCTCTATCTGAAGCACAGTGTGTATATGTGTTTGTTATAGGAGAGTTTGCTATTTGAGTGGGTGAATGAGATGTACCTGGATCCTCGCTATCAGGCTCGAGTACAGCAGGAATTCGAAGAAAGTTCTGAGATTTGCTTGGCTACTTTCTTACAGGTTAGTCATCATCATTATTAATTGCACAAAAATATTCAGTTATGTTTAATGTACAGTAGTACATATACATTTGTACATCAGGGTTTGCCAATGCACCATATGAGCAAAACTCATTGTGTATATTAAGTGTTAAATAAACTCTGCCAGAAGATGCTTTCATAAGGCCCTTTTAGTCTGTGCTGTTGTGGAGGTCCATGTATAATTGATGCCAAGGAGAAATTCCTGAAAATGTGAAAACACTAGAGGCATGTAGCCAGAGTAAGTTTTAAATAATTAAGTGTCCAAGTTACTTATTTATAATGTTGCACATGTAAGAGTCACATTTGCAGACTCTGCATGCAAGAATATGCTTATATTGTGATATATGTACAATACCAATAGAGCTAAATTACAATGGATATGCCAAAACACTGTTTTTCAAATGCATTAATGGTAACACTTCTCAGTTAAGTTTGCTAAATTAATGTTAGTTGCCATGAAATGGAAATTCCGTTTCATCTCTTTTCTAAATGCAAGTTTTTGATCCATGCATCTGTTTTTTGTTTTTTTTTATTGTTTTGACCTCATCTGTAAACCACCCATATTTAGTTTGATAATATTTAAACTATTAATCTCTTCCTGTCTCTGCACGTTTTGTTTTCTGGTAAGTTTCGTGTGATGTTTATATGCTGATGTATTGATGCCCGTTGCTGTGTTTAGGGATTATGGCCGTGCAGATATGCAGAGCGTCCCATCTTGTGTACAGGAGTGCTGGGAACTCCTCTCCTCCGAGTCATTCTTCATCCTCTTATCCAACCTGACCGGTCTCCGTCTACACTATCTGTGCGGTGATGAGGATGAGAGCGAGAACGAAGATGGAAAGAGTGAGACAGAAAACAGAGGTGGAGAGGGAAATACACAAGCATCAGCATCCAATACTGATGCTGATACTTCAACAACTGAGAAGAAAGACAAAGGTAAGTCAGCATGCGCATGTGTGCCTTTAAAAAAAAAACATTTATGCAAAGATACATTTTTACATCTACAATAATTTTTCCTGTGGATTCTTGCAGGACCTCCTACTTGTGTTGGAGAACTGCGTCGCTGGATGCATGGCGACTATACATTGTTACATGACTCTGTCAAAAGAGAGTATGCATTGGATCTGCAGCTTCACATGGGCTGTGCTGGTATGAAATAATTTATGTTTGTCCTTTTTGTTATTAGTTGATAAGTGTGTTCAATATGACTAAATTTTGATGGAGGGACAACGGTTTGAAAAAAGTGCAAGAGCATATCCGAGACAAACATCAGCCTGTTTTTTTCTATCAGGGTGGAAATCAGAATTTGGGGGATTTACGTCCTATATTGCACATGATGAAGATGAGGAGGTAGGTGATGGTGTCACACAATGCCAGTTTGTTTTCATTTAATGATTTATTATAACATATGCAAACACAGCAGACTAGTGCACATTATTTATTCTGGGGTTTTTTCTGTAGCTCCTGACAGTGTATCCTGAAGATAACTCCCTCGCTCTGGTCTACAGAGACAAAGACACCCTCAAGTTCATCAAGCATATCAATAATAGCAGCTCCAGCCAACTTTCTTCTCAGAATACTGCAGCATTCTATGACTTCTCTTTTAACTACTATGAATGATGAATGAGTGCATTGGACATACATTTCATAACATTTTGAGCTTAATATACAAAAACAAAAATAAATTTGAAATATAAGTGCACTTTCATTTTTGAATGTGCAAGTTTCACTCCAAACTACAAAAATTCATTGTTAAGTGTGATGCTCGAAATGAAATGTAATCATTTGGTTGTTAAATGAGCATTTGTGCTCTGATGTCAATAAATGTTAATAATTAACACATGAATAATGACATTTGTGTTCATCTGAAGCCCATTGTGTTATATCACAGAACTATAACGTGTTAAAACACCAAATTACATCTATTTACATTACTAGAGAACATTAGTGAAAATGTTTATATTCTAGGTTGTTCATCTGCATTATGTACTCATCCTCACGCTATTCTAAAACTATGCATATTTATAACCTGTATGCATTTCTTTATTCTTCTGAACATAAAGAAAGATATTTTAAGAATTGTGTTGTTTTTTTATATATAATGGAAGTCAGTGGGTTCCAATGTCGTTTGGTTCCCAACATTCAAAATATCTTCTTTTGTGTTCTGCAGAAGAAAGTAAGTTGTACAGGTTTGGAATGTCATGAGGCTGAGTAAATGATGACAGAATAATATTTTATATTTGAGTGAAGTTTAATTGAAAAATGTACATGAATCACATTCTCCAGCATGATTTGAGAATGATCCAAAGAGCATCTTGAGCTTAAATGGAAACAAGAACATCCAACCGTCCGTAAAAGGATTTCACATAATCAGTCTCACAAATGTAGTTATTTGATTAGACTGAAAAATTGTGCAAGAGCACTACTTTAGTTTAGTAGAGGTCCATGGGTGAGCCTCTTTATGTGTTTTGAGTGTGAATCTGCAGAGATTTGGACAGCTTGTGATGAACGCTGTTATTACTTCCTGCGAGACCACACAATAACAGTGAACCTCTTGGAGCTTGACACACTGCTTTGCTAAGGCTATCAGCTCAGAGTTAAGTTCAGGGGATGGGATTGTCTGCAGCTCCAGAACCTCTAGCGTGTTTGTGTAACTCTGCCTGACTATCCGAACCTCATCCAACAGCAAAGTCCAAGTGAGCAGCTGAAGACATCGGACAGGGATGCTGGGCTGCAGTACCCCTGGAACGTGCAATTCGGGCAGGGTGTGGTCCAGCTCAAGTTCCACCCAGAGACGCGGGTGTCTCAGTTTTAACTCTAGCCATATCTGGTCACAGAGAGGCACGGTGTATTTGAGCGAGCGTTCGCAACGGAGCTCTAGTTTCTTTAGTGCTGGTCGCTCTGGCAACATGAGATCTTTAAAGACGTCTTGTGAGAGACTGGCCTGGAAAACTCCAAGAGTGCTGAGCGACTGGCAGCATTTCAGCGTTTGCCTTAGAGTTTCGGCGTTGACGCCACACACCAGAGAGTGATTGTTGATGTAAAGACTTAGCAGAGCAGGGCAAAACATGGCTATGCTCCTGACGAAGGAGTCGCTGAGGGTGAAGGGTACACCCCTTAGGTCAAGCACGGTTAGGGACGACCCGTTCGTCAGTATGTCCACTAAGCCTTGCTGCAGGTCCTGACCAGCATAAAAGAGAGGCGTGTTCCCCACACAACAGATGGAAAGTCCTTCCAGCCGCCCATCACCCCTGGCAACTGCCTGCCGCAGCACCCGCAGTGCTGTTTTGCGATTGGCTGTATCGGTCAGACACATTCTCAGTTTCAAATTTCTGACCAGTGGCAGAAGAGCAGAATATCTGTCGGGGACACTGGTTCCTGACTCACACCTAAGACAAGAGATAACATATGACACACAGAGCAAAACATGCATCATTTCTGCTGTTTATTATTATGATGCATTAAAGTTCATGCAGCAAAATTTTATGACAATATAGTAGTGTATGGCACAAAGTCTTCACTAATGTCGTAAAATGCTTTTATCAAGGTACTTAATAAATCAAATAAGTCAAATATGAGGCCATGGAGGAGAAGAAGAAAGAAATCACACAGGAGATCTCTTTAATAACTCAAAAATTTCTCCTAGACAGCAATGCTCAATTATAATGAGCAATGGAGAGGGAATGGAGACTTTTAGTCTCATTCTTCTCAAAGGTACATCTCAACAATGTCTCAAACTGTGCTCAAAGTGGCCAACATATCAGTCTGCAATCAAAAGTGATCCATTTTAATATAAATTCAATCATTTATCATTAAATTATCTTTATCATACTTGCTACATTCTATTTATTGTAACTCTGTATGTAGTCTTCGTATTTCTCCTGGGAATTTTTAGGAGAAACATGTGAGACAGATTTAATACTTACATGCAGTTTAACTGAGATCTCCATTAAGTCTCCTGAGATATGAAAGAGCAATATCTAAGTAATAAAATTATCCTTTGGAAGGGTTTCCTAATATCTCATGGATACAAGACAAACCAACAGTTCTTACCTGACTTCAGTATCTTTCCATGAGCTTGGATGTGTCACGATATTAGACCAAGCCTTACAAACAGTAAATGCATTGCATTTGTCCTGTAAAGGCAGAAAAGAAAAAATATGTGCAAGGATCTCTTCTGGCAGATCCATCCCATTCCAAATCAGCCCTTTATCTTCTGTCAGCCGCGGTACATTAAAATACACTTGAAACAAGTGATCTGATATTATAACCGAAAACCTTTAATCCAGCACAGTGCGTGATGACTCTGCTGTCTGTGTGTCTGTCAGACTTCTGGGGGGGGGGGAGAGCATATACGCTCTCAAACTTCTGTACTTCCTCCTGCGTTACGAGTTCCGTTGTTAAACGCTGCGATGAAAACAGATGTAGAGCTTTGAGCCAATCAACATAGAATGCGCGAGGCTCTTAACCAATCAGATTGGAACATTGCAGTGGGTGTGTCTTAGTAGCCAAGGCAGTGCTTCGACACCTCGAAAGTTTCCTTCGTGTAAGTTTGCAGGCCTGTCTAGACTTCCTTATCATTCAGACAAAGTTCACCAAATCGTTGTGTAAGTAACATGTAATATGTATAACAAAAGCGCAGGTTTCATTTTCGCTATTATGTGAATTGAAGACAAGCAGTATTGCGTTATGTTAAACTTTTGTTCACGAGAACATTAAAATGAATAAAAATAAATCCACGAGTCTGCATGTGCTAGTGTTTGTATATGTTCTATCCACCGACCTCTCAAAAATGTAAACCGTTAACATTTTTAAACGTGACGCATCATGTTACCTGTAAACATGTGCATCGCATATTTAACAATCACCAACCTATGACCCGATTTATATAGCAGTATCGACCATCTATCTAGCTCACAGCTGTATAAGGAAGTGGTTACATCCTGAAAACACACACAAAACAATGTATGTTTGTTAGTCTAATAAGATCTTAAATGATTCTGCTTTTTTAGAATTTCTTTGGCTATGTTTTTTTTACGTGGAGTAATTTGTTCACACTCACAGGATTGAGACAGGAGTTTGATCAGAAGATGGACAGTATAGACACAGAGGTACATTGTGTTTACATTTGTGTCTGTCCAGATGTTGTTGTAAGTGAATTAACATTGTGTGAATGATTTTATCTTCATCTACAGAAGTTAAATGACCGCAACGGCAACGATGCTGCATTTTCAGGGTGTGCTGTACTTTTCTTGGGGTGTAGCAGTCCAGCACACAACCTTCTATCGCTTTACAAAGACGAGCAAGGGAAATTCAGCGTGTTCAAGGTTATTAAACTCACCCTTATAGGTAAGCGTCAATAGAGGTGGCCACCAAGTACATATTGAGTTAATCAAATTATACAGAAGTGAAAAGAGTGTGGCGTTTTAGCTATACAGATTTATATGTCTTTGTGTTGCAACTGATACTGTTCGAACTGTCTTTGATCCAGATTCTGTTGGTGGACTGGAAGGGCACGAAATCCTGAAACTTCACGATGCTGATCCCTTCCTTGGGGTGGAACTCAAATTCATGGCCATGCTTCCCTGTCAGCGATTCCTGGAGAGCTATGCATGTGGTTCGCTCACTCAGTTTCTGTCCCAGCATGCCTCACGCCTTCTTACTCTTCCGGATGGGGATGTCATAGAAACACAGCTCAAAGCAGGGATGCATACATTGGACCAAAGCCTTCAAGATCTAGAGATCTGTCTGGAGCACATACGCCAATCACAGGTATGTGTGTTTGTTTATGCTGATATGACCAGCAGGATAGGTTTATACGGCTCTGTACTTTGATGAGCAGCTGTTTGCACAGAACGTCAGATAACGGAAGGAAATCACAGTTCACTGCTGCTTAACAGAGGTAGTTTTTAACTTTTATTTAGGCCAAAAGGTCATTGGTGTAAATGGTGCTGGGAATTCCCCGAATCAAGAGGGCCTTAGTAAGGATAACAAATTAGGCTTGACACATTTCAGCTCTGAGAAGAAACTACAGGTTCATAGATTAAAGATTTGATAAGATTAAAGGGGTCATATGATGCAATTTCAAATTTCCCTTTCTCTTTGGAGTGTTACAAGCTGTTCGTGCATAGATAAGGTCCCTAAAGTTGCAAAGACTAAAGTCTCAAACCCAACGAGATATTCTTTATAAAAGTTAAGACTTGTCCACGCCCTCCTAAAATGTTTCGTTTAAACACACCCCCACATATCTACGTCACGATGTGGGAAGATTTGCGTAACGCCGCCAAAATGTTCACGCAAAGAAAGAAGGCGTAACTTTTATTCTCGCTGTAGTAGGGCTGCACGATAAGCCCGCTGGACGCTCCTTCGTCCAGTAGCCCCTCACTGCAGAACCCAAGATCCAGAGGGCGTGGTTGGATCCACATCTAGTGGGTGGAGATTGGTAGGTTTAGGTATATGTAAGGTGGGAGGAGTTGGATCTGGATCTAACCACGGCCCCTGGATCTTGTGTTCTGCAGTGAGGATCATCTCCCTTCGTCGAATCCGCCGGCCATTCCTCACTCAAGCCCGCCGTGTGTGACGCTGTGTGTTTCGTTGTGAAAGCGAAACTACTTTGTTTGGCTTTCCAAAAGAGGACACAACTATAAATCAGTGGTTAAGTTGTATTTACAACACTGTTCAAGAACTGTTCAACCCAAATATTCAGATGTGTGCAGCGCATTTTACGGAGGACTGTTTCCTGATCCTGGGAGAGTAGACTACAATGCGTCTGTGGCACAAAGGCTGTTTCTATAAAGTTGGGCAGTTCCAACTTTTCAAGGACAGTCTGGTGCTTCTGACTCACAATCTGTAAGTAAGTTTTTTATATTTAAAGAATTTGCCACTGATGATTCAAACGCGAGTTTTGGGCAGTGTTGAGTAGCGCTTGTTTGTCATTTCTCCGATCACAAATGCAGACATGGTTTTATGTTTACGCGGCGCGATACGCAACGCAACGCGTAAAAAGACAGTATACATCATTATAATCAGTAATTATGTCCCCACTGGAT